CTGTGTCCCTGGTGGTGAGAAAGACAGAGATGAGGAATACTGATAATGTCACACAGTTATGAATGCTCTGGACAGGAAAAGGTCGACTTCTCCACTGGGTTTGAGGAGGAACATGAATCATATTTAGCAGTTTCTTCAACATAGAAAGACATAAAAATAGTACTTGATAGCAAAGCCATAATATGAGAATAAGGTCATTGTGTATTGAGAATTAAGTGGTGATCAAGTCGTAGTTTTGATGTATCATGAGCAGCCAGCTGCCTCTAACAAAATGAGGAGTGTGGCGTGTTTGGTTCAATTTTCTTTTAGCTTTTATCTCAGGCTTTAGAATCTCTATATTTCTAACAGTGTGGTGCTAAGGAGACAAACATTACAGATAATTTAACCAGACGCCCTCACAGACTGTATAAAGAATGGACAGAGTCTGCCTCCTTGCTGGGTGAAGCCACTCCAAGAACAGCACCCTCTGTTGATCGGCTGCAGTATAGGTCATAAATCCCGCCTCCACCAGCAAAGCTTATGGAGCTGTGGACAAACTTTAGAAATGTATTACACAACACATAAATTTTTCTCCCCCCTGGTTGTGATGTTGACATGTAGTTATTGTAAGACTGGTTTGTGCTCAAGTCCTTTTTTTCTTTTAAAAGTTATTAGGGGGTTCATGTTTTCTATGATTGACACCTGATACAGCCTATGGGCGTTCAGGGATTGCGTAGCTCTCCCGGGGGATACGCTGTTTGAGCCTAGTGTCATCACAGCGACTCTCGGTGACTGCGCGCCTGAACGCACGCATCGCTACTGCGCAGCACTGGTTTCAGGAAATGAAGAAAAATCCTGGAAATACCGAGAGCTATTTGTCTTCAAATCCGTATACAGGCGGTAGGCGGAACCAAGTTGTCCATAGTATATACAGTTTATGGATAATCCACTTTCCTCATTTTGGTACAGACAGCTGACTGCTCACTGCTACGACTTTATCACAACTTTATTCTCAGAACATGGAAACTCTAATCACATAACATAATGAGTTTACAACAACTTTTAAGTATTTTTAAAACCTTTTAAATTATCAAAGTTCAAGTTGGTTAAGTACCTCACTGTCAAAAATTATTAAAAAGTAGAAGCTGATAGCTTTGGTTTGAGCCTTGTTTCACCAAGCTAGCTAAAGTCATGCAAGAGCTTGCAGAACATGTGTCAAGAGCTCAGGTAGGGCTAGTTGTCACACAGCTGGTTGAAGATATTATGGAGGCCAATTTCAAGGGTATGTCTGTAAGCGAGGACACTTTTAGTACTTCTGGTGACTTGTTTTCATGATAAATCAGTTCAGCAGACCAGATTGTAAAGCAAACATCTATTATGCTCCAAATGGTCTCAAATGTTTCTCACACTGACTCCCATCAAATAAATTGTGTCATCATATATATATATATATATATATATATATATATATATATATATATATATATATATATATATACACTACCGTTCAAAAGTTTGGGGTCACATTGAAATGTCCTTATTTTTGAAGGAAAAGCACTGTACTTTTCAATGAAGATAACTTTAAACTAGTCTTAACCTTAAAGAAATACACTCTATACATTGCTAATGTGGTAAATGACTATTCTGGCTGCAAATGTCTGGTTTTTGGTGCAATATCTACATAGGTGTATAGAGGCCCATTTCAAGCAACTATCACTCCAGTGTTCTAATGGTACAATGTGTTTGCTCATTGGCTCAGAAGGCTAATTGATGATTAGAAAACCCTTGTGCAATCATGTTCACACATCTGAAAACAGTTTAGCTTGTTACAGAAGCTACTAAACTGACCTTCCTTTGAGCAGATTGAGTTTCTGGAGCATCACATTTGTGGGGTCAATTAAACGCTCAAAATGGCCAGAAAAAGAGAACTTTCATCCGAAACTCGACAGTCTATTCTTGTTCTTAGAAATGAAGGCTATTCCATGCGAGTTATTGCTAAGAAATTGAAGATTTCCTACAACGGTGTGTACTGCTCCCTTCAGAGGACAGCACAAACAGGCTCTAACCAGAGTAGAAAAAGAAGTGGGAGGCCGCGTTGCACAACTGAGCAAGAAGATAAGTACATTAGAGTCTCTAGTTTGAGAAACAGACACCTCACAGGTCCCCAACTGGCATCTTCATTAAATAGTACCCGCAAAACACCAGTGTCAACATCTACAGTGAAGAGGCAGCTGCGGGATTCTGGGCTTCAGGGCAGAGTGGCAAAGAAAAAGCCATATCTGAGACTGGCCAATAAAAGAAAAAGATTAAGATGGGCAAAAGAACACAGACATTGGACAGATGAAGACTGGAAAAAAGTGTTGTGGACGGATGAATCCAAGTTTGAGGTGTTTGGATCACAAAGAAGAACGTTTGTGAGACGCAGAACAAATGAAAAGATGCTGGAAGAATGCCTGACGCCATCTGTTAAGCATGGTGGAGGTAATGTGATGGTCTGGGGTTGCTTTGGTGCTGGTAAGGTGGGAGATTCGTACAGGGTAAAAGGGATTCTGAATAAGGAAGGCTATCACTCCATTTTGCAACGCCATGCCATACCCAGTGGACAGCGCTTGATTGGAGCCAATTTCATCCTACAACAGGACAATGACCCTAAACACACCTCCAAATTGTGCAAGAACTATTTAGAGCAGAAGCAGGCAGCTGGTATTCTATCGGTAATGGAGTGGCCAGCGCAGTCACCAGATCTGAACCCCATTGAGCTGTTGTGGGAGCAGCTTGACCGTATGGTACACAAGAAGTGCCCATCCAACCAATCCAACTTGTGGGAGCTGCTTCTGGAAGCGTGGGGTGCAATTTCTCCAGATTGCCTCAAGAAATTAACAGCTAGAATGCCAAAGGTCTGCAATGCTGTAATTGCTGCAAATGGAGGATTCTTTGACGAAAGCAAAGTTTGATGTAAAAAAAAATCTTATTTCAAATCCAAATCATTATTTCTAACCTTGTCGATGTCTTGACTCTATTTTCTATTCATTTCACAACATATGGTGGTGAATAAGTGTGACTTTTCATGGAAAACACAAAATTGTTTGGGTGACCCCAAACTTTTGAACATAGTGTATATATATATATATGTGTGTGTGTGTGTGTGTGTGTGTGTGTGTGTGTGTGTGTGTGTGTGTGTGTGTGTGTATAGTAATCATAGCCTACTTGTGCAACACTAAAATCTTCATTTTATTGAAAGAGGATAACTCAAATAAACAGACAAATGAAAGGGACAGTGATGAAAAATTATAGAGTAATTGATTTTAAAACTATTTTGATATCTTTAAAAACAAAAAAGTTACAATGTTTTCTATCTATCTTAAACCCTTTTTTTTCTAAAATCCTTTAAGTAACCAAGTCCATAGACTGTGACAGCCAACTTTGGGCTGGTTGTCACATTGTGTTAGGGCGCTTTTGAGGGCAAATAACTGGCTGTTAAATTAAGTTACAAAAATAAAAGGGCTCTTCCAAATGTTCATGTCAAAAAGTGAGCATCTGTCTCATGCAGGAATGGCCGCAGTGAGGTGTGAACATCAGAAGTAATTCACTCCGGAGTAAATGTGCCAAACACCCCCTCTGATGATAGGCTACATATGTGTTCTTTTTCAGACATTTTATAAACTTTATTGCCGCCTGTCTTTAACAAAAAATTCTTAAAAATAAGATTTTTAATATTTAAGAGTTTTTTTTTATTGGCGCTGCAGGGCGGGTCCTGCTCATCACCGAAGGCGGCTCGCGCGGCGCTGCTTTAAATGACAAAAAAAAAGAAAAGAAAAAAATAACAGGAAAAGAAAAGCTTGGGGGAGAGAAACAGGTCCGAGGAAAAGTAAGAAGCTGAATATGAGTGGAGTACAGCGGACTGATAACAGGAGCAAACAGCGGCCTCTGAGCCCTCTGCAGTGAAATAAGACATCTGACCGGGGATGTGCCAGAGGACTCAGCTGATGCTCCCTCAATATGTTTAACTCCGTCTCTCACAGTGGGGTGAGTAATATAACGCTGTTTATGTGAGCTCCTACACGTTTATTAAATGGAAATAGATTAAAGCGTTGGCCTTGCATTTATAGATCTTTATTGTTCCTTCTAATTTCAGCATGCTTTACCTTTACACAGCTATATTTAAGCTTTTCATTTTACAATTCTAGATGTTTCTTGCAAAATAAACTTTTTTTTGTCAAGGCACACACAATAAAATGTCAGCTAAGTCTTATCTTAAACTACTCTTTTTTTCTTTTTAACTTGTAGGCCTATTAAAGAAGATAAAGGCTTTGTAAAAATTAAACATGCATGGGCGATATCACATTAACATAGGATTTTGCCCACTAAAAATATCTTCTCTGCTGATAAAGTGGTTTGAACTTGCTGCTGCATCACAATCCCCACATATTTAACCAATTGTAGTGGGCTAATAACTTCACACCGTGGACCTGAGCTAAAGAGGGATGTAGGAATATGAAAAGTCACATAGAATGATATTTGGATATTCTTGATTTAAGATAAACTGATAGGGCTTACTCACTTGTGGTTATTTAAAGTGTTATTAAGTAGCTACACACATAAAGGGTAAATATATTTTATTAGGCCAATTTTGTGTGTACCTATTTTACTGTATCTCCCTTTGCTAGATTACCAATAATCTGCAGTATTCCCATTAATTCCCATTCCCAGTAATACGATAGGCTATTACCTTGACTGAATTTAACAGTTTGTTATCTGGGACTCATCTAAATAATGTATGAAACCCAGTTATTTCACCGTGTCTTTATGGCCTCAATAAGATGATTATTTTATTTTTCAATTTCTGGACCATTATGTTAGAACTGATATTTCCAGTGAAGGCAGTAAAGACGGCTATTGTCAAATATTTTGAATTCGTCTTTGGATAAGTAGGTCACCTTAACTCAGCACACCTGCTCTGGCTCATGGCTCGTTATCTAAGGCACGTGCGCATCTGAAAACAATCAGCTGAAATCGCGTCCACCTGCGAACGCGACCAGTTCTCATGTTTACAATTGAAAAGCTATTTTATTTGCTGTAAATGTTCTTTTTAGTTGTTCCCTGCGGAGTCGAGCTGATACACTTAAGTGCAAAGCTGTCGAATATGCAAACATGCACATATCTCCACTTAAATAAACTCAGGGATAAAAAAAAGTGCCCGCTAGATAGGTCCACTAAATTTTAGGGCTGAACTCTCTGGGGGTTCAGGATAATTACGCTGGTTGTGGTTGTCATGGTAATACAGTTTACAGGGACGTTGGCTAACCTCTTATTGTGCATCATGGACTTCAGTGACAGCATGTCGGAGGGAGAGAGGGGACCGACGGAGGCTGTTTTCACTCAGCTCAGGGGGACTGTCTTTGTCGACTCAGTAGGTGTTTTCAGTGATTTTGTACTACTTTGCTCGCAGTTAAGTCATGGAGTCATCGGAGCCTGAGGAAAAGTTGAGCTAAAATGTAGCGACGGTGAAGTCTCACAGACCCCAGTTCATTCCTAAAGGCGAAATACGGGCTAAGAAACCATGCAAATCTTTTCTCTGACAAGCGCCGTCTAAATGTTTAACTAACTAAAAAGTCAAGTTTTACAGCGCTTTGGTTATTTAAAAAACATCAGACTGGGACTCTCGAGAACCCAACATTGCACGAAGTTGTTCTGCGCGCTGAAAGCTCAATTTGACTATTCAGATAAGGTTACTCTTTAGTCCTTTTCCTCTTTAAGGGTTCCTCTGGACCTGAAGATCTTTTCGACGAGGACGTCTACTCCCCGTCCTCCTTGTCCTCGTCCTCCTCCTCTGTCCCTACTGTGTCCTCCCTGCCCGGGAGAACGCTGTGCACCTTCTGCGGTCAGGACATAATGGACCGATACCTCCTTAAGGTCAGACTCACACTGGAGAAGAGTAATAGGTCTGTGGTATCACCGAAAGACTAGGTCTGTAACTACAGAGTGACACTCGGGAAGTTGCGAACTGGGAGGTTGCCTTATTTATTTTGAAGTTTTTAGCCATTTAGGTTAAGCGTGACTATTACAGGCCTTTTTTAGCTTTAGGTCATTTATGGTGAAACTGTGCCGCCAAATCTTTTTAAGCCTCAGACTCCTGCAAAGATTAAATATTTTTAGCTGTGAGGTTGAATGTTTTTACACGTTCCTTGTGTGTGTTTAACCATAGTTATTTCTGTCTGAACTGCTTGAAATGACAATGACAGGTATTCGTTTTACCTTTTATTAATGTACCAGAGAAAACTGAAAACCTGAAGTGAAATGATTTTACTTGACTTGAAGTCTTAATCTTTTTTTTAATTTTTTTAATCTCAGGTAAACAACTTGTGCTGGCATGTACGCTGCCTCTCATGCAGTGTGTGCAAAACATCTCTGGGGCGACATGTGAGCTGTTACATTAAGGACAAACAAGTTTTCTGCAAATTAGACTACTTCAGGTAGGTCACACCTAAAATATTTTATTATATTATTATTATTATTTGAACAAGGAGAAGTAAATACTTAACAAAAATAATAGCCATTTCATTTTGCTTGTAAAAAATGATTAGAAATCACAAATATTGAAAAATAATTGATGTGGTCAGTTTTTGAATAAGGCAAACAACACATGAAAAATGGAAATGGAGAGATGAATTTTGTTAGCTCAACACACGTTACTATCAGAGGTTTGTTGTCAATATTTGAATGTTAAACAAGAATCGCCTCTACATATTTTGATATATGTGATACACATGCCAAAAATGGGCAGTGCTGCTTCTTTTTCCTGCACTTTGCAAACTGTGGGGAAACTTTATTTTCTTTGGAGTTTGCATTTAATAAAAGTATCTGTATTTACTTGTAATCCTCAAAGAGTGGTAATTAATTTGTGCTCTGGCTTTTTATAAGGACCAGGATCACAAGCTTTATGAAGGAATAAAAGCTGGCTTTCAAGTAGTTGAAAGACATGACCTACACTTGAGGATTTACTGTATAAATGCAGAAAACTGCATTTGGCGAAAACTGGAGATGATGGTCATAACATGGTCAGGAAATCTTCCAGTCCAACCTATCGGTCAATTATTATGAAACCATCGCTAAACAATTAGCCAGCCAAAGCTTCTCCCCATCAACCCTCAGAAAATCATGGTCCTCTGCCTATGCCTGTATCTCATGTTTGCCCTCAGGAGGTATGGGACCCGATGTGCCCGCTGTGGTCGTAATATCCACTCCAGTGACTGGGTGCGGCGGGCCCGGGGCAGCACTTTTCATCTGGCCTGTTTCTCCTGCACCTCCTGCAAACGACAGCTGTCCACTGGGGAGGAGTGTGGACTTATAGAAAACAGGGTCTTCTGCCGACCCCACTATGATTCCATGCTGGAAAATATCAAACGTGCTAAAGAGAATGGTGAGTACATGCACAGAGATGATGATTGGTATATGGATGGATAAAAAAATTCAGGATAACCCGGACTTCCTTCTGTACCCTATAAGACTCCTAAATATCCTAAATCAGAAATAATGCTTTTTTTTTTTTTTACATACACTCAATAGCAGCTAGTGCAGACATGTTTTTTTGTTGTGTTGAGAGTGCTGATGGTTAGAGAATGGTGAAGGAGTTGAAGAAAGACCTAGGGTACACTGGAAAAGTCTAAAATTCCCCCTTAAGCCCTGCTTTCCTCTATTCCTAAGCCCTGATCGAAAACATCACAGGTTTAAAGAAAGGAATATTATGGAGTGAAGGAAGGATAAGCACAGGTTTTGGAGAATCTGACTGCTTTTACACAGCGGATATTATTGATTTCACCTGAATCTGCTGTGTAAAAACTACAATCCACTGCAGATGTGTGGTGTTCTTTCAGTGGTGTTTACTGCTCCCTGCTAAAAATGGTGAAAATTGGGTGATAAATATGACATTATTTCATGTCTTCTCAGGATAAAACAGTCTGAAAATTTGAGAAAACATCTGTACGGTTTCATATCTGTAAATGTGAACCTCATATGACTGTCTGAAGGATTTTAATCCCTCTTTTAATGTTAATGAAGTGAAATCCAATTCTGTTCATGTAAGGACTTGGAATCCTACTAGCCTGAAATGCCGTTATCTTTTTTATTTTAGCTTGCATGTTCTAATTTGAATACTATTAGCTCCCATTACCTGTCTAACTTACCTATTAATAATGTTTTAAGCACTCTTCAAACCCTCTACACCAATGGTTGCCAACTGGTCTGGCCTTGGAACTCAGCATCACCCCTTAATGACAAGCTGCGACCCAAATTGAGGAAATTTTCAACTTGTCAGCTTCATGCATTTAAAAAATAGTCCTGAATATCCCAACCTACTAACACGTACACAAAAAAACTAGTTGAATCATAAACTGAAATGACCAGCAGATGGCGATAATCATGAGAGAAAAATATTTCCTTTCACACCCAATTAGCTGCATTTGAAATGAAATCAAAAAGTGCATCTTAAGAGCACTATGTTTTAAAAATGAAGCACTACTGAACAGCCCTTTGTTACTATTATTATATAATTGGAACTTCATGAGCCATCGATCATGAGGCTGATACAATATGCATTGATGTACCCTCAGCTCTTCTTAACATACTCAGAGGTGCTTTCTTGCATAAACATGAAAAAAAAAAAAAACAATCTTTGTACTCGATGTAAGTAAACCAATATCTCATGTACCGGTAGTTTTCTTTACTTTTTTGGCCAAGCAGACCCACTGAAAATGAGTCCTGGACCCACCACTTCAGCTGCCTTGTTCGCCAGATACCTGTCAAAAAGAACTCAATGTGTTCAGGTAGCTGGAAGTGCCTCTTCTTTTCTGGACATTACCAAAGGGGTGCCCCAAGGTTAAGTGCTGGGACCCATTGTATTTTTAATCCACATAAATAATCTCTGCAACAATTTGTCAAATGCAATGTATTATTTTTATGCAGATGACACCATCATTTATTGTTTTTCAAACTCACTCACTCACTCACTCACTCACTCACTCACTCACTCACTCACTCACTCACTCACTCACTCACTCACTCACTCAGACAGACTCTCAAATTTTTACTTGCTGCTTTTCATGTTATCCAGTCTTATGATCTAAATTGGTTTTGAACAGATAAAATCAAGCTCATGGTTTGCTCTTATCTAAAACTGGTACCACAGAAAAATGCAAGTATTATAAAATCTGAAGGAAAACCTATGGAGCAGGTTTTAAATTACAAGTACTGGGATTTTATTTTAGCCTGGGAGCTTTCAATGAAAGCACACACAATTAATCTGGTCACTACACTTCAGATGAAACTTGGGTTCTTTTTCAGAAACAGAACCTGCTCATTAACAGTGACACTGCTCTACTGCAAAAAACAAGCAGTTGCTTTGCCTTAGGTTCTTGCACTACACTTGTTTTATCTGTTCCTCGAGTAAGGACTGAATTTGGTAAAAGAGCTTTGAGCTTTGCCTGGAACACTCTGCAGATTGAACTGAAACTCTCTGGAGCTATTCTACCTAGAGCTTTTCGTGCTATCTGGAGGGACAGACAGCATGAGACCATTGAACAATGCCTGTGCTTTAAATCTTACATGGTTGTGTTTGCTTTTGTGTTATAGTTCCCGCACTTCCTAACACGTTTTAATATGTGCTGTCACTTCTATGTAACTTTTCTTATGACATGTGATGCTGACCTCTTGGCCAAGTCACCCTTGTGATAGAGATCCTGATCTCAGAGGGTTTTTAATCCGGTTAGGTAAATGACTTGAGAATCACTGCTCTACACTGTTTTACAGTGGACTAAGGATAGTAAAACAGTGGCTGCTGTTCCCTAATTCACAGATAACATGATCACATCTTCATCACTGAGTGAATTTTAAAAAATCTGACATCTCTGGCATAAAACCCTCCTCAGTTTGAGCTGCCTACTGTAGTGCTTTTTGTAAGACTCTTCAATGCACTGTATGATCTACAATGCAAGATGACTTGTCTCTTTTCTAACAGAGCACCCGAAAGGAGAGGAAGAAGAGGGGGACAAAGAAGAGTCCAGCACCATGCCCAGACCTGCAAAAAGGGCCCGGACCAGCTTCACTGTTGACCAGTTACAGGTATTGTAAAACCACCATAACCATAGAAAAAGCATTTGATAAAAAGATGCTGAATAAATAAAAGCAGAACACATGAAACACAGAGTAAGAGCTAAACAAAAGGTTTTTAACCCTCATCTGTAAGAAACTGAAAACTTTTTTCTCTCTGATTGGAGGTATGGTGTTGTGATCAGGGCCACAGAACAGGATCAGTTTTTTAGATAGGGTCATCGAGACCTCAAATTGGAGCCCACAAATTTGGGAAGTTTGTTCATGATAAGAAGCGGTGGATTTGGGTCAGTATGCATTGGTTTTGTCGCCTTTTTGTGATTTTTTTGTGGATAACTTAAATTTTGAGAGGCAGCAAGCACCAGACTCTTGGTAAACAAATTTTCACTGTGTTTAAGGAAACTTAATGCCAAATTTGATGCCTTTATGACTTACAATGTTGCAGTAACAATTTGTTTCTGGATTTGCAGTACCAAGCCAAAAGCTTTTTCCATAAAGGGGGATTCTGAACCCCAAAGACCATCAATCCTAAATTTGGGGTGGGCTGTCTGTCATCCTGAGATGACTAAATATAACACTGAAAAAAGGAAGCACAGGCTGGTCCTGGCACCCAGCCTTTAACCTGTCAACTGACTCCCACTACGGACTGAGGTCATCCCCTTCTGTTTTTTGTGTATTTTCTGCCCTCTAGTGTCAGTGAGAGGTTGTGCAATCTAATTTAACAGAGCACTTTTTGTGTCGTCATCTCCCATATTAATGCGTCATGATTAAAGTGAACTGTGAACTTATCCATGTAAAGATGCCTCTCCTCATCATCTCTTCATTTGTAGGTGATGCAGACTCAGTTTGCCAAAGATAACAACCCAGATGCCCAAACTCTTCAGAAACTGGCAGAGAGGACTGGTCTTAGCCGCAGGGTTATTCAGGTGAGTGTTTCTTTCTGTCTGTGGAGAAGTGCTCATAAGGGTTGACCGGGTATGGGCCTAGGCTGATTATCGGGCCGATATTCAGCAGTTGGCCATGTATCTGTATTTGGCCTTTTGTTGTAAAGATGAATTAAAAAGTGTACAAATTTGGCTCTGCTGCTGGTGTGTCTTTCCCTCTGGGTGTGTTTTCTTGCACCTCTGTGTCTGACCTGATGTCAGGTCATATGTTGTCATATTGCAGCAGCCTTAAACCACATATTAGGTAGGAAAGTGCAGTAAAACTATAGATGTACAAGCCCAGTCCACTGAGAAGTGCCTGCAACTTGAGAGAGCTTGAATGACTTCAAGATTTTATGACAAACCAGCTAGTAGCTGCATTGTTAGATACAACTTTCACATTTGCAGTGACAGCTAAATTTCTAAAATGGAAATGTTTATTAAAACCAGAGTTAAATACTGCCCAGCAACATACCAGAGACATGTAGAGACTCTCAGTGTGGTTGGTAGCAGGTGCAAAGCTGTCAATCAAGTTGTTAGCTCCCACGACATGGCAGTGCCTGATAGTAAAGCTATTATTTTCACTGAGAGAGGGATTATTTTAATTTATATCATTTTTTTACTGTGATATCTTTTAATGACTAAAACAGGTGGGAGGGGCAGTGGCTGATCGAGGGAAGCCCTTTTCTACATTTTCCCCATTTAATATTCACAATAAATGATACACCTGACTGTCAAAAGTTGGTCAGAAGAGATTTTTGTCAGAACTAATTAAGCATGCAGAGGACAGGACAAAATAAGCAAAGATGTGGCCAAAATAGGAGTGTTAAAGAGAGGAGATACTTTACCAAAAGTGCTTCAAAAATTAATACAGATAAAAACGTATCTCTTTAAACAAATCAGGCTCTTCTCTTTGTGTGTGAAGTTTTGGTCATTCTCACAATCACATCATGTTAGTTTAAACATGTTTAAGTATTTACTGATGGAGTCCTTCAGTCTTGAAGTCGAGCTGATCACTCAGAGCAGATGTTAACCCGTTTCTCTCTATGTCCAGGTTTGGTTTCAGAACTGTCGTGCTCGTCAAAAGAAATACATCAGCCCAAGTCCCGCCCCCTCTTCAATGATGACATCCCTGACTCCTGGTCAGCTGACCCCGCCTCTGATGGATGATCTGCAATACACAACCTATATTTCTCCAGACACACCACTCCTCACTACGCTGACTTACATGGATGGTAAGGAACAGTTTCACACTCCAACTCTCATTGGCAAACACCAAACTTTACAAATGTCATGAACAAAAATGTTTCCTTCGAACATAACAATCTCCACAAATGTGAGTGGCTTGATGCCATGACTGTTTGTTGAAGGGCAAATGCATATTACACCTCTAAATGGAGGTCCTCTAGAAAAGTCTGCAGATATGCAGTTTCATACCATGAAATACAGAATTTGGTAATTCTGTCTGGTCTTGAGAGAGACAACACAAGGAACCCCCACTCCACCTGGTTGAAAGCGTTCTCAGCATTGAATGGGAAGGCAGCTACTGGTGCCAGATTTGAGTCATTCTTATGTGTGAGATGCATAAGGCTTAATAAATTATCTGTGTAACATCTGTTTTTAATAAAGCATACTTAAAAAAAATGTATTTTTATTATTAAAACATACTTTATGATATTCTTTAGCACTGTCTCTGAATGTGATGCTAGAGTCTTTGTTAATAACTTACAATCCTAACACAAGAAGACTAATGCAGTTGTTCCAGCTCTTTGTTGTAAGAAGAGAAAAAGGATAGAGTAGACACTCCAGTCTGCAGAGGGAGTTTCACTTACCTTTGACGGTTTGCTTTCATAGACTGCAGAGGCTTGAGTAATAAACTGCTTATTTTATTGACACTGATAAAATACACTCCTTCCTGCTACAATTAATGAAAATTTTATTCATCACAGTCAAACCAGACCAAAGTGCAGTGAATGAATGCATAAATCATGTACTTTGCCTTCTAAGAAGCCTTTTGTATTTTTTGTTTTATCAGATATCATGATGTATCATTATTTGATTGTTTTGCAGTACATCAATTTTTCCAGTCTCTTGTTAATATCAGTATTATGGACTTGGTGTTGTGTGTTGTCTTGTTATGAGTCCCCATTCTCACCTCTATTCTTAATGTACCTTTTTTCCTCACTGAATTTCTCCAGTCCAAAATCCAGATTCACTTCTGCTCCAGCCACTCCTGGCTCATTCGTTGACTCAGCTGCCCGTCAGCCATGCCTGAGCTCCAGCCCGCCTCCTGAAATAGAGGACACTGATTGGGTGACTTGAAGACAAAAAGCAAATCCAGCTCTTCTAAACAGAATCTAAGAGTAGAAAATTTAATGTCCAAAAAATGATTAGATTGGATGAAAAGAGTAAGTTTGAGTTTTTCTTCTAATGTTTGAGTAGACAGTACATACAAATGAGTAAATGAATTTATTTGATTGAATCATATAGGAATTAACATGTTAAAGACATGCAGAACATGGGTGTATATGAAATGAATCTTGTGTTTGTATGTTTTTTTTTGTTAATTTATTTGGAGGATTTAATGAGAAAAGGCACTTTGAAACTAATGTAAACTTTATAAAGATAATGTTTTCAGTTGGATGGTATTCAGTGGGATGGATGGGTGTGTGTTTTGGGCAAACAGATGTCACTTTGGCCTCACAAGGACAGAATCAGAGTTTTTCTTCTGCTAAAACATAAAAAAAAAAAAAAACTTCTGTTACACAATTATTATTATTATTATTATTATTATTATTATAAATAAAGTTATTACTACTGGGACCATTTTACACTGCCAAATGTAGAGTTTGTTGTCCTTCAACATGAAAATACTGCATCTGATTTGAGACACATAACATCAGTTGGGATGTTTTTCTGTACAGCTTGTGTTAAGTCCAGAAAAAAGTGTAAATGCAATTCTAGATCAGAAATGTTAGATGCCACCATAAACCATGTATGAGCTAGGCAGTGCGAAAAGATGAACTTTCTCATTTAATGTTTAAGAAATTGGAAATTAAAGTCCATGGCTTAGCACCAATGCTTTGGTTCTCATCATTTACTATCCTTCTTGGAGCTGCATTCGTCAACTATAATTAAGGACTGAAATGACATGGGCTGTTTTTCCTCAAGAACCTTCTGAGAAGAATTTTTAACATCTCATAAACAGTTTTAAGCTGATGCCTTAACTTTAAATACAAAAGTAGATCAGACCACCTGATGTGTGAATCATTATTTCAAATTTTTCTTAATCCTCCATATGTTTTATCAAAACAGACTTAAAAGACATGACGTTTTCCTCAGTTCTACAGAAAAAGTTCAAAGATGCCAGTCAATATTTTTTCATCACAAAAGATTTACAGGCTGTTGCAGGACAAAGCAGGACTGGAGAGGACTGGCTGCAAAAACTGATGCAAAAGGTTCTGCACTGTTGCTTTAAATTTACTGCAGCTCTCATATTCATTATACAGCATAACCCCCTAAAAATCTACAGGCCAGGTGTGAAAACGTTCCCCCATGTCTTTTCACATGACCCACATTCCCGCATTTCTAACTGTGTCTGGCTGGTGTGGAGCTCCTGATGTGTGTGCTGGTATGGCTGCTATAAAGTAAATCGCACATATGATTATGTGATTTACTTCTCTCACTGACCAACACTTCGATAAATGATAGGAATCCTTCTTAATCCTTTGTGTGCTTGTTGCGAAGATTCATCATACAGATTAAATCTTAGCCTGGCTGGGTTGCGTGAATCACTTGATCAAGTGATTCACGCAACAGGATGGCCAAGCCAGGCTAATTAAATCTGGCTTTCATCAACTTCCATGTGGTGTTTTCCATTCACCACTGAAAACTGACATATATTCTCATAACTGAGAAGTTGGTAATTTTCTTTTGGTAAATCAATAAAGAAATTATTCCTGTCAATCCACTTTTGTATATGTGAGGATTTTTTCTTTTCCAAAAACTTTTACAAAAAAACTATTTTATGGGAAAAACACGTCTTTACTGCAACTTCGCTCATTTTTTTCGGTCTTTTCTATCGTCCAAAATAGAATGATGTCACCTGCTTTTATTTTGAATGTCAAGACGTGACGGAAGTTGCGCTTGGAATTTCGCATTCTGATAATATCGCCGAAGAAGACGAGCAGTAGTGTTGAACCGAGGTATCAATGTGTAAACATTAGCAACCTGTGAGACTCTTGCGTCGCTGGGATGAAAACCTAAGGTAAAACCCATAAACACGTCTCTAGTTTTCAAATAGTTGTTACAAATAACATTGTTTAAATCATCAGGGGCGTTGACAAGTTGGTTTAGGTTCCAATTCATGACATGAAAACCTGGTTTGTGATCAGATACTGAGATGGGCTTTAAAGGGGTTATAGAAAACCCTGCACCGCCAGCTCTCTCAAAGAACGAGTTTGTTGTTTGAAAAGTGTTTTATTCAGTTCTGTCGACTCAGTTTACATTTTTCATTTGTGGTGTTTGGGGACTGTGGATTGCCTCTCAGTTGCTAGCGTTAGCACACAGCGTCCTTAGGCATCGTCATTAGGCATATCTTCCCTTGTAGATAACTCAAAGATTTACTTTTGATACACGAATTTTCCCCCAAAACATAAATTTTACTATACTTAGTCCTTTTATGTAGTTTTATCTCTCAGTGGGACTTCATTCTTGTCATGACCGTAGTAATCGATCTGAGCTAACAAGCTAGCTGACTTCGTATCCGGTGTTTCGCTGTAACGAGTGACCGTGTTAACTGGCGTCTCTCGGCCAAGTATAGAAATAGTTAAACGACACACAAAAGCGAATACCCAATTCTTTCCTGGACGCCTTTCGGAGGAGAGGCAAAACGTCTCCAAGAACAAGTCCAGTTGCCCTTTCAACGACGAATGGGACTACTGTGACCCAAATGAATAAAAACCTACATTCGCACAAACACGAATAGAATTCAGTTATATCTTTCATTATAACGTCAAATTAAACTCCCCGAATGTGCCATGAATAAAAATCAAAGTATTCACGAGTAATAAATTCACACGAAGCCTATATTTGAATCAACTGTGGGCTCAATTCGCAACTTACTGTGGTCACTCATTTACTCGGAACACCTGATGTGTCTGTCTCGCTATCTGTTGGGGTTGCTAAATGACACTTGACCTGCAGTATTTTTTGTTACTGGTGCAAAGAATGTAGCTGAAGTTATTTAAATAAACCTTTGTTGTTATAAGGAGTGAAAGATGTTATATTCGGAAGTTAATGTTTGTCAGTTAACATTTCAGTGGTCTTACTGATGGCGTACAAGAGTATTCATTTAACTGTCCCGTTTCCTCTCTAATTGATCCAGATCTGTGAGGAAATTAGGAGTTACTACTTTAAGGCTGATGCAGTCTGGAAACTCAGCTGCACAGAGCTGCAGCATGCAGTCATGGCTGATTACCAATCTCAAAGACTGTAACTGTTGTTTTAAAATAAATTCAATAGGGGTTTGGAGAGCCACAGCCTTTAATAGAATATAGAAACAGGCTTTATTCCATTCACACACCCATAACTTAACCAAGTTTAGTTTGCATTTCATTTTCTGCACATATCTCAAGACAAAGTCAGGGATAGTTTCACAAAGTGCTTTAATTTCAGTGTAATTCTGAGTCCTATAAAAGTTGCACCATATTTCTGTGTTTCCAGTGTTGGTGTATAATGTCCTGTGCAGTGCCAGTCCTGTATGGTTAATGCTGCCTTTGTGGAGCTTGTTTGCACAAAAAAACTTATTTTCTGCTAACAGTAGTAGCTGTGTTTTAAGCTTTGCTGTCGTTCTTGCCGGTGCCTTGGATTTGGTTGATTATATAACAGAAAAGCGCAGCACCTGTTTGACAACAACTGGATATTGTAAACTTGAGGGTTCACTTCAGGGCAATGGTATTTGATTGAATGAAACAGGACAGGTGTGTGTCTGTTTTTATATGTTCTGCACACAGTGTGAAAAAAACTTTTAAATCTGAGTACAGACTCGATAAAGAGATTCCTTCAAATCTAAAGGTTAATCTGTAAACTGTGTTTCCTCAAGAAAAAAATATCCTCATTTTAGGATGTTGCTCTCATCAGCACAGCAAAAGGAAACGTATATCTCGACACAAGTTTACAGGAATTATTCCCACATGGTCAGTGTCAGTATATCATGTTTTTGTGCATCAAAAACTACATATTCCACCAGGAAATTACAAAGGAGACTCTTGAAAAGACTGTGACAGGTGGACCATAAAGAGACTGACTTTTTTTTTTATCATCTTTTTAGGTCAACCTCAACTTGTGGGACCAAATATTGATCTTCAGTGCATGGACGCAAAGCCAATGCGCAGGTATGTGTGATTTCAGTGTTTAAAGGACTCTTTTCATGCTACTTCTGCCGGAGGACATTATTGTATAAGGGACAGGTCACATAAACAAGTGTGAAAGATCTTGAAATGGAAATTTCACTTCTTTTAAAACCTACAGTCCTCTGGTTTTAAAGGTATTTTCTAGTCTAGATGTTTTTGAATTCGTGCAGTTTATTGCTCCCTTCAGCAGCCATGAAACAGGCTGTAAGTGTTATCTCTTCAAGCAAATGTGTCAAAACTAAGTACACCCGCTGTAAGTGCTTCTTTGGACTTAAAAGGCTTCCTAGTTAAACAAAATGTCACACAACATTGCTAGAAATATCTATCTAGAGATACATTATTGTCAAGAATGCCACCCTTTTTATTAAACAGAGTGCTGATTTTAATGTGGGCAGATCTAAAAGAACAACAACAAAAAGTCAACCACAGGTCAACTGGAGAGACAAAATTACTTGTGTTTATCATGCTATTGATTCAGTCTGAAGAATATCGTTGTCTTCTTTACAGCCAGTAAACAAAGTTTCCTCTAATTCAGATATACCAGGGCTCTACACTAGGGATGGGCAATAAATAATTGCTCACAATTTATCGTCAAAAAAATCCTCCATGATAAATATTTACCATCTCATGATAAATACGATAAATGCTTGATGATGACGTAAGTGCGAGTGACTGACTCGCAGCCATAGCCCACACAGAACAGAATAACAAACAAACATGGCCATGCATGCTGATGAAGTGTTGTCGGCATACTGTTGTTTTATGTAAAGTAAAGATGGACGGTGACTCAAGTTATCGTATCTGTAAAATATTTGACTGTGAATATGAAGTTTGTCTGCAGCAAGCAGTGGCCAACCAGACAGGTAATTTCTTATCTATACAGTGCATCCGGAAAGTATTCATACCACTTCACTTTTTCTACATTTTGTTATGTTACAGCCTTATTCCAAAATTGATTAAATTCCTTTTTTCCCTTAAAAATTCTACACAAAATACCCCCTAATGACAAAGCGAAAAACTTTTTTTTAGAACATTTTGCAAATTTATTAAAAATAAGACACTCAAATGTTGCATATACATAAGTATTCACACCCTTTGCTATAAAACTCAAAATTGAGCTCAGGTGCATCCTGTTTCCACTGATCAGCCTTGAAATGTTCCTCCAACTTGATTGCAGTCCACCTCTGGCAAATTCAGCTGATTGGACATCATTTGGAAAACACACCTGTCTATATAAGATCCCACAGCTGACAGAGCATGCACTGTATATAATTTTAAAAGAAGATACCCGCTTTTCTTCATCAGTGCCATTCGGGTTTTGAATTATGTGAATGGGGGATCCTCGTTCACTGTGTTATAGGCTATGTGTGCAGAGTGTGAGTTTGTGAGATGTATCCAATGTAAAGCGCTTTTAGGGTCTCTGATAAAGCGCAATAAATATCTGATTTATTATTATAATTATTATTATTGTTATCGTTATTATTATTATTATCATTATTATTATTGTTGTTATAATTACGTTATATCTCATTTTTTGTGTGAGCTGGCACAACACTGCTGTCTAAGTCATTGTGGTTGAAAGCAGCCCTGTTTTTTTTCGTCACCTGCTGCTCGGCCAGTGTCTGTCTTTTTCATCATCACTAGGCCCGCCATCTGATTTGGCACATCTTATGTTGGCTCTCTCTCTCTCCACCATATGTAGATTAATGTTAATTCAATAAACAATGTACTTATAGAAAGCTAACTACTTAGCTGTGTGTCCTGTATTGCTGTGAGTGATATGCACTCATAAGCCAGACCAATTTCCTGACTTCCCAAAACGTAGTCCTGACTTTGTAATTAGTAGGCTAAAGGTCCTTACACACCGGGGCTGACACGAATATAGAACGTGAAATCATGAAATATTTTGAGGCAAATTTTGACATGCCTGACTATACACATCAAGCCCGATGCGATTTTGCGACTTTCCGGGGGGTAAAAGACGCATCCCGGGAAGACTTTTCTAGGGGAAAGTCCTGCCTCCTTCACCTCTGATTGGCTAGAAAAGCTGGAAACATCGTCACACGCTCAAGCCAAACGGTCAGCACTTAGAGCCAATCAGAAGCGAAGGAGGGCGGGACCTTCCCTTAATAACCAGCGTCCCGACTGGAAGCAGAAGGACAAAAATGGAGTCTACTTCAGCTTCATGTGATGGCAAATTGGTACTCCTTTTGCTTTCTCAAAAGAAAAAGAAACGTAGCTCATGGGTGCATCCAATATTACAAAAAAGAAGAGAACTTGGTGAGTTTCACTGCTTGTTTGAGGAGCTGAAACTGTACCACGGTCGCGGATTGTTTTTAGTTCTGATTAGACAGAACTACTAGTGTTGAGATGGCTTTCTGTCATGATAGCAAATACTGAGTTGGGGCCAGTACCAGATAAGCACATGAAACTATGGTAACAACCGTTACCTTAAGTTAGCACAGATGGAAGTTAAAAGAAAGACGTTTAGCAAACTGTTAAAGCACACAAACCATCATCATATGAGAGATCCGACGCTATGACTCTCCACAAGTTGTCCTTCAGGTCGTTATCTTTGTTATGTTTGTGTCTTTTATCAAAATGCACTCTGTTCTCCGACACGTAAACAATCAGCTGGTTGGATACGTTGGATAAACCCGTGAATCAGATGTTGCAATAATACGCAATCTGATTGGTCAGAAGTGGACACACAGTATGCAAAATGTATGTTTTGACGTATGAAAACGTCACTGATGTGAACGCTTGTATTGACAGGATACGGGTTCCAAAAAAAATATTGGCGTCCGACAAAAACGGTCTCGGTGTGTAAGGACCTTAAGGCTAATACTGTATGAATTTTTTCCCCCAAGGTTGCACATTATAAATTACTTAATTCCTGCTTGCACAACAAAAATATCATGGGAGGGCCAGTGCAGACTAGAAATACTCACCCGAAAATGTGACAAAACCAAGTAATGACTTCTGTGACTGTTGTGAATCTTAATTGGAACGTCAACGTTTACAACAGCAAAGTCAAAAAGCTTCTGAAGGGCCATCAGCGTCTACAATGCAAACACATAATGTCTGTGGGTCCCTTTGTGCCTTTTTAATTATTATTATTTTAGTCTTAGAACTCTGGTTTGCATAGCACGAGTTGAAACTTTGAAGTCTCAAATCTGAACCCAGATTATCCTGATGATGTAATCAGGATTGTATGTTTCACACTTTAAGGGCTCATTACTCCCCAGTTTTCACAGGCTAAACAGCAGACTGCTCTGTGTGTGGAGTTATCTGGTCTTAATGTGTCGAAAAAGTGGAGATCCTCTTTAAAACCACCACAACCTGATGGACATAGGCACTGTGTGAGTAAGCTCAATCTGATTTTGATACATTTTTTAGAGGTTTAAATGATTTCACACACACTGAACTAGTTCTGGTATAACTTGGACTTGTTTTGGGTCATTATCTTGCTGTAGGATGAACCCCTGACCAACTAGGTGCATACCAAAGGGTACTGCATGGTGCTGCAGGATGCTGTGGTAGCCATTTTGGTTAAGGGTGCCTTTCACGCTGTACAAGTCACTGACCCTGGATCCAATAAAACAGCCCCAGACCATCACAAAAATCCTGTGTGATGAACCAAAGATTCCAAACTTTGATTCATCAGTCCATAACACCTTCTTCCAGTCTTCAGTAGTCCATTGGCAGTGTTTCATGGCCCAGGCAAACCTCTTTTTCTTATTCTGAAGTCTCAGCAATGGTTTTCTTGCGGCAACTAGACCCATGAAACCTGCAACTCAAGGTCTTATCTTCACAGTTGAAACTGAGACTTGCTCACTGCGACCACTATTAAGCTGTGCTTAAAGCTGTTGTCCTGTGAGCCACTTATCACGCAAGCTGTTGACTCTCAGAAACTTAACTTCAGATGCTGCTGTGGCTTTAAGTGTGCCAGACCTCTGCCTATCAGCATTTCCAACAGTTTCTGAGTGCCTTTTGATGGTAAAGGAAACTGTACTCACTGACACTTTGACTTTCTTGGCAATTTCTCTGGAGGAAAGACCTACATTTTTAAGTGTTATGATGGTCTGTCTCTCTTTTATCGTTAATAACTGTCCCTCGCCATTCTTATGGTAACACACTAGTTTCTGCAGTACACTCCTGTCTAAACAATGCTCACAACGGTATGGTACCACAGTGTGTTCCAACACTACTTTCATGCAGACAGAGGGGGTTGTAAGTGATCAAGAAAAGTTGGGACACCTGTAGAAATTGGGAGCACCAACTTTTAAGGCTTGATCAACCTCCATTGCTGCAGAACTGCTTTAAATTGTTAGCCCATTTCTTGTTCCCTGAAAAAGTCCTTTTTGTATAATTCTTAAATGTAACATTATATTTCAGCTTTGGTTAACCTTACCTTTTTTTATTTACCTCTGGCAGTTCACCACTAACCTTTGTAACCTTTTAAAGCTGTTCATTGGACTTGAACTGAGCTGAATTTCAATTTTAAAAAAAAAGGAAAAATTGGGGTGTTTACAAACTTTTGACCAGTAGTGTATGTCAGTGGATTTAAAATAGTTTTGAAGGTTTCTAAAATAGATAATCTAAAGAAAAGGGCCCTTTTAAGACTCAAGAATTAGTGTAAGGAGCTTTTTGGACAAGCAATTGTTAATGTAAAACTATAAGAGAACCTATTTTTACTTTGTGCCTTTAAATGTGTTTTAACATTTGTAAAATACTCTGCACCATTACCTTAAGATAAAAGCAAACAAGCTGTGTCAGGAGTTTGTAACAAGGCAGGAAGTTTTAACAAAGATCTTTCAATTCTCTTGATTGCTGACTATCTGCTCAATGTTAAGGGCCACCAGCGCACGCCAAGACGCCACTGGAATGGACATCACCAGCCGCTGTACCCTGGGGGACCCCAACAAGCTCCCTGAAGGGGTCCCCCAGCCCGCGCGCATGCCCTATGTCTCCGACAAACACCCTCGGCAGACCCTAGAGGTTATCAACCTGCTTCGAAAACACAGAGAGCTGTGTGATGTGGTGCTGGTGGTGGGAGCCAAGAAGATTTACGCTCACCGGGTGATCCTTTCCGCCTGCAGCCCCTACTTCAGGTACTGAGAGAGTCAGCGTTGTATTAGTGGCTGATCTGAAATATAACAGGGACGTGAATCTCCTGAATTACCTGACCTAATGAAGAGTTGAGTCATAAGGAGCCAAAGATCCATGAGGATATTTGCTGGTGTCCAGCTGAAACTCAATCTGCCAATTTTAAAATGCCACACTGTGAATATACTCTAAAGTTACAGTATTTATGCTAGCTGTTAGCAATGTTGCCAAAGTCTTGTGGTAATATATAACTAAAGATATGGATATCATTAGCTAACCATATGATTGGTGCATACAGGGTTAGTAGCAGCAGAACAGCTCTCTGTCTTCTCCTTATTCTGTTACCAAAACTTTATTCAATTCTTCAATTTGCAGCTACAGGATGGTTAAAAGTTAAAAAGATCTGAAAAAGGCCTAAATTGGCAGTGTCTGCACATATTGAGTCTCATTCATGATATGTTTGTGAATAAAGGTTTTGCACATAAGACTCATGAACATGGAGGAAAACTCTGATTTGATCGTAGGCATGTGTGTAAGGTCATGAATGCTGATTAATCGTAAACCGCGACAGGGTGATCCTGCTATCCATTAATAAACATAAATCTCACAGATAACACCATTAAAGTTATTCTAAATATCCCATTTCACATTTTAACTTAATCTGAATCTTAAATCTGCTTATGGTCAAAGTATTTACTTAGATGTGTAATATATTGTTTTTTGTCCATTGTGAACATAACAGATTGCAATATGAATTAAAAGGGATTTCTGATAACTAATATCTGTATGTATTCTTCACTTACACAAACTCTATGAGCTGTCAGGAGCAGTTGCAGATTTTGTAAGTAGCTACAAACAAATCAGAATTACTAAAATATTGATGAATGTCAGGTCACCCATAAATGTAGGTCTCTGAACGGTTTACTCACAAAGTCATTCTGCTTAAGTTTCATGGGACCAAATAAAATGCAAGTCCAATTGAAGTGATTGAGACAAAACAACCACATTGCTCTCTAAAACCGCAGTTAAGTTGTAAAGTGAAGCTGTGCTGAAGTTGTGCCTCCTGCGCTTTTTCAATCAATGTATTTGGATGAATTGACTTCTCTTTGATGTGGATTAATGCTAAATGCACAAAATAAAGAGTTCCCATCTTAAAAAGAGTAAATATACATCAGAGGGACCCACACCTATAGTTTGTTCCTTTTGCAGGGTGGCATTAGTTCATGCTTTCTGTTGAAACTAACTCTGTACTATCTGCCAAACAGATAGATTTTCGGAAATATGTGTTGTGATTGGAAAAAAATTGTAAGCCATGCATTTGTGCAGTTAAAATGTTCAAGTTTTGTGTTTATTTCCCTTCTTTGTTCTTTGCTAATCACATGCGTAATACTATCTTTTAATATTCATACTCCCATCAGAGCGATGTTCACTGGAGAGCTGGCAGAGAGCAGACAGACTGAAGTGGTTATCAGAGACATTGATGAGAGAGCTATGGAACTGCTCATTGACTTTGCCTACACCTCACAGGTAACTGCAGCACAGATCTGTGTTTCTTTTAGAATTCTTTGAAGGAATCTATGACAGGATATTCTCTACTAAATCTTGGTCTCCCTACTTTACATAAGAGGCGGTTCAAAGAGCAAAATGTCTGAATATGATGGGTGCATGTGAATGTGTCCGCATTTTAGCAAGTACTAACGAGAGAGTGTTTACTTTTTTTTTTAATTGGTTGTGAGAAAGGAAATTAGCCTAATCAACAAGCAATGATGTGGCTCACATGCAGTGTTGCCAACCTAGTGACTTTGTTGCTAGATTTAGTGACTTTTCAGACCCCACTAGTGACTTAATTTTTAAAAAGCGCCTAGCGACAAATCTAGCAACTTTTTCTGGAGTTTGGAGACTGACATAAAAGCAGGTATCGATAAGTCTCGGTAAGTCTTCTCAACTGGTAGCGACTGTGCACGGAAAATACACACACACACATATACAGACACCCAGAGGAAGACTCCTCCTCTGTTGACTGAAAAATTATACAAATTAGGCGACTGCTTCTTTTAGCAACTTCTAGCGACTCTAAGGACATCCACTGGTGACTTTTCCTTACTGCCAAGTTGGCAACACTGCTCACATGCACAAACGTAACATAATTTATTAATGAAATCATAATTTTTCACAAAGCTGTGTCATAATAAATGTTTTTACAGTTAACTGATGATAACCAACAGTAAAACTAAAAGAAAAACTGAGCTTTAGGCTTTTTGTGTAAGCTAGCCACAGATTACACAAAGGTCTGTTATAGAAAATGCAGTTAATACGGTGCAGCTTTTATATACGTGGTGCAGAAGTTCCCAAAGTCAGGGACATGAAATATAGAGTCATGGATGTAAAATGCAATTAAAGAACAGTTGTGAATTTCTAGATGAAACCATGCAAATGATAATATCAACAATTTTCTTCTTTTCTTTGGTGCCACATGACCCTTGAGGTTATCATGACCCACTGAAGACACAATCAGCTGCAGCAAGTTAATTTACAGCAGCACAAAAATTTGTTTGTTTTCTGCAGACCAGCTTGATGAAACATAGAAGTCTTAACACCAGTATGACAAATACAGGTCTAGGGTATCCAAAGCTGAAGTCAATTTCTACTTATTTACTAAAAGCAGCCACAGGGTGCTACAGCAGAATTGGAAAACACTGCAGAAAACAGATTCTGCCTCCGTGCAACCTTTCTAAGCTTTACAACTCTGGCTGCATGTGACGAGTCTCTGCTGTTCCAGGTGACGGTAGAGGAGGGAAACGTCCAGACCCTGCTCCCTGCCGCCTGTCTCCTCCAGCTGGCTGAGATCCAGGAGGCCTGCTGTGAGTTCCTCAAGAGGCAGCTGGATCCCTCGAACTGTCTTGGCATCAGGGCCTTTGCAGACACACACTCCTGCCGTGAGCTGCTCCGCATTGCAGACAAGTTCACCCAGCACAATTTTCAAGAGGTAAGAGCATGCAGAACAACAAAAAAGGCAACTCTGAAATCTCTGGTGTCTTGTTATTGTAGGAAGTTACCAATAGAAATGATCGTTAGTATGTTAACTGAAGCTGAAAACCCACAGGATCCTTGTTGGGCATGTTGTGTCCCGGCTCCATCGGGCAGCACACCATCGCCTGCTGGAAGCGTATTTGGGGCGAGGGTAGGCACCTGCCGCCTTCAGGTGGGGGGACGGATCCTGAGTGTTGTTTGTGCCATTGCTCCAAACAGCAGCTTGGAGTATCCACCCTTTTTGGAGTTCTTAGAAGAGGTGCTGGAGAGTGCTCCTTTAGGGGATTCCCTTGTTCTGCTGGGGGACTTAAACGCCCATGTTGGCAATCACAGTGAGACCTGGAGGGGCGTGATTGGGAGGAAAAGCCGCCCTGATCTGAAACCAGAGTGTTGCTTTGTAACTGTTTTTTTGTGCTTTTCACAGATTGTCCATAACAAACACTATGTTCAGACATAAGGGTTTCCACATGTGCACTCAGCGCCAGGACACCCTGGGTCGCAGTACACTTATCAACTTTGTGATTGTATCACTGGACTTACGGCCACTTGTCTGAGACACTTGGTGAAGAGAGAGGCGAAGCTGTCAACTGTTCATCTCTCGGCGTGGAGTTTGTGACCCAATGGTGGGAGAGGATGCCGGTCAGACCTGGCAAACCCACACGCATTGCCAAGGTCTACTGGAAACATCTAGCTGTGTCTCCCTTGAGAAGTAGTTTTAACTCCCACCTACAAGAGAGCTTCAACCATGTCCCAGGGGAGGCGGGGGACATTGAGTCAGTCTGGGCCATGTTCTCTGCCTTAATTATGGAGACTGTCATTGCGGTAATACCCAAACCTGTTGGTGGCCACCCGCGGTGAGGGATGCTGTCAAACTAAAAAAAAAGTCCTATTGGGCCTTTTTGGCCTGTGAAACTCTGGAGGCAGCAGATAGATACTGGCAAGCCGAGTAGAATGTAGCTTCGGTGGTTGCTGAGGCAAAAATCCTGACATGGGAGGAATTTGGTGAGGCCATGGAGAACAACTTCCAGTTGACTTTGAAGAGATTCTGGACCACCATCTAGTATCTCAGGAGGGAGAAGAAGTGCACTGTCAACACTGTGTATGGTGAGGATGGTGCACTGCTGGCCTCGGTTTGGGACATCTACCCAGAGTTCCTCAAGACCCTGGATGTTAAGGGGCTGTAGTGGCTGACACAACTCTGCAACAAAGCTTGGGCACTGGGGGCAGTGCCTCTGGATTGGCAGGCCGGGGTGGTAGTCCACCTTTTTAAGAAAGGGGATCAGAGAGTGTGTTCCAACTGTAGGGGACTCACACTCCTAAGCCTCCCTGGTAAGGTCTATTTAGAGGTCCTGGAAAGGGAGGGTAGTAGGATAGTCAAACCTTGGATCTAGGAGGAGCAATGTGGTTTTGGTCCTGGCTGTGGAACTGTGGATCAGCTTTTTACCCTTGGCGGGATTCCTGAGGGTACGTAAGAGATGCCCAACCAGTCCACATGTGCTTTGTGGACTTGGAGAAGGCACTGGACCGTGTCCCTGTGGGAATCTTTTGGGGGCTGCTCTTGGAGTATGGGGTACCGTACAGAGTGATAAAGGCTGTTTGACCTTAAGCTCTTGCTAAATCGGTTCGCAACATAATGTGAAGCAGCTGGGATGAAAATCAGCACTTCCAAATCCGAGTCATGGTTCTCAGCCGGAAAAAGGTGTTGTTCCCTCTCTGGGTCAGAGATGAGATCTTGCCTCAAGTGGAGGAGTTCAAGTATCTCAGGGTTTTGTTACGAATGTGAGGGAAAAATGGAGCGAGAGACAACAGACAGATTGGTGAAGCATCAGCAGTAATGCAGAGACCGCACACATCTGTCGTGGTAGAGAGGGAGCTGAGCTGAAATGCAAAGCTCTTGATATACCAGTTGATCGACATTCCAACCCTCACATATGGTCACGAGCTGTGGGCAGTGGGTTATAGAACAGGATTGTAGGTATAGGTGGCCTGAAATGAGTTTCCTCTATAGGGTGGCTGGGCGTTCCCTTAGAGATAGGGTGAGAAGCTCAGTCATCTGGGTGGGGGTCGGAGTAGAGCCGCTGCTCCTGCATGATGAGAGCATCAGATGAGGTGGCTTGGGCATCAAACAAGGATACCTCCTGGACGCCTTGCTGATGAGGTGTTCAGGGTAAGTCCCACCAGTAGTAGACCACAGGAAAGATCCAGGACACACTGGAGAGACTGTATCTCTCAGCTAGCCTGGTAACACCTCTAGGAAGAGCTAGATGCTGTGGTCAAGGAGAGGGAAATTTGGGCTTTCCTGTTTAGGCTGCTGCCCCCACGACCTGACTCCAGATAAGCGGTGGGGGATGGATAAATGGATGGAGTTTTATTTTCGAATTTGCCGGATTGACTTTATTCTGCTTACGCTTGACTTCCTGTCTGATGCTATCTCCTATGTTGAGATTGATACCTGTTGGAACTGTAGAGTGTTGAAAATGGGCTTGGTGTGTATCTTTAGCATTAACCTCAATCGCATGTATGTAATTTCAGTGGTACACCATTGGAGTCGTTGTCATGTTTTACTGGTACACTGCGTCACAGTGTTTGCAGCAAAACTCATCCTTTTTCTGTTTAGAATGGTCCCATACAACACTTTGTCTTCCTTTCCTCATATCTTTTTTTACTTCTATGGAAGCCCGCTGACGCTATATCACTTCCTTTTGTAAAATGCAGTGGCAGCTGCTGGTCTTTTGAAGGAGGGGAAGCTCATTTTTCTGGCCTACATCATAATTGTGTTTGTTTATTTATATATAACAGAACAGTGTCGCCAAACACAACGGCAGTCGTTTTTAACAAAGACAAAAGTCACTGAGGATCGGTAAAGTCTCCGGAGCAGTTAAGAACAACGGAATGAATAACTTGTAAAATGCTCTGGTAGATGTTTTATTCTTCAAGATCGCTGATTCGTTTGTTTAGCTGTCAATCAAAAAAAGATTTTCGTCTCAGACAGCTCATCCAAAAATGGATGCAGAAGCTCAGCGTCCGCGAGAAAGTTGGGACCGCCCTCTCGTAGTAGAACTCCAGAGACGCTGAGCGTCCGATGGGCAGGACAAAGCCCAGCATTTATCCAATGAGCGTCTAGTTTTGCTAGCTGATAAGAAGATGAAGGCTTTCTAGCGCGTATTTAGTTAATGAAATGTACACACAGCAGTACGTATTTCACCACTTTTTCTTTTTTTGGGGGGGGTGACATTTTAAGGGAAGCTGAGCTTCCCTTGCAGTCTTAGAGCAATCGCCACTGGTAAAATGTCAAAATCCTTCCCCACAGTAATAGTCAACACACACACACACACACAAACACCCTGACTAGACAAAGAGGGTATCCAATCTGATCAGCAGAGGTTGATCAAAGCTGGAAAGCAGCTGGAGGATGGATGCACCCTGTAAACCTCTTTTTTGATAACGTGATCAACGTAATTCTTAATGATCAATTAATCAATCATCGATTAATAATGCCCATTCCTTGTTGATACTGTCTGTAGCCACAGTGCAGCGCAATACTTTCCAAACATCTATGTTGGTAAAAAGTAAAACCAACGATTAACTATGTATGGACAAACAGGCCTGTACAATAACACCCCATAATGCAGTATTAAGCCACCCTGAATCACATAATAATCTTGATCATCTTCTAAAGAAAATCTCAGTCCTCTGTGCAGCCGGTTAATCTCTTTAAAGTGTCGCTCCCATATAGGAGGGCACTTAATGAAGTTTAATTCTATGACAGTTTTAAGAGATATAAATGTATAATTTAGAAAAATATTTGGTACAGGGAATTTTTAGGGTTACTATCATCATCTTCTTACATTATTAAAAAGGGAAAAAATTAAGGTAAATATTGTGGTTACACTCAAAAAAGAAAATAATACATACATCGTTTTTCCATGCACATTAAAATGTAATATAGATGGCTATTGAAGCCACTGACATGTTTAAGAGGGATTTTTGATGTTCATATTGGAGAAAAAGACATACACTGGATGATGCTTTAGGTTTCAAAGCAGAGTAGATGTTTCTGTTGGAAGTTGTATTAGATTAAAATCAAAATAGAATTTACCTTTAACAAAAGTAGGTGACTGTTTAAATATGATGTGCTGTTCTTGGAGATTGGAAAATGTGTTTTTATTTAGAAAAGATCTTTGTGGCTTCAGCCCAATGAGAGTCGATGCTGATGTGATGCTGATTATTTCTAAATGCAGTTAATGGGACTGACTACCTGTCTAGCCAGTAATCATCTGTTTTGAATAGACAGTAAAGGCACACATTTAAAATTGATCAACCAATGGAAGCAGTTGTGCTGGCTTCCTGATAACCTCCAGTTGTTTGTTGAATCGGTCTCTAGATTATGAAATAATTCTGGCCAGTTTTTAATCACATCATTTATATTCAACTTAAGATCTTGTGTTTGATCATTTAGGAATCAGCTGATATCAAGCTTATCTGAGATTTGGGTGTTGGAGAACCAATAATCATTACAAGATGTACAGAGGATCGAAGAAATTGTACTCTGTTCGTTTAAACTACATTCTCACACAGTTGTCTTACCCTTTGCAGCTATTTTTGTCGCATTTAAAACAAGTATTTGTGGAATTCTTCTCCTGCAGACTTTAATCAAGTCAAAGAGATTAAAAATGTTGTTTGTCAGCTCACGAGTCAAAAGGAACAGGAAACAAGCTTCAGGCAGTTTTAGTTCTGTGGCTTTCTTAGTAACCGACTCACTGCTGATTTGTTGTTTTCCATCTTTTTCTACAGGTGCTCTAAGGGGACTACACGCCAAGTCTTTTAAACAGAAATTAAAAACTGACCAACTGGCTAGTCTAAGATTAGAAATGTTCCAAAACAGCCAAGATTAAATGTAACTTACCTAACAAAGCTAAAGACAGGTCACAGAGCCTGCAGGCTAAGGATGCCAAATGGTTCGCCAACTGTGGCTAATACTAGCAGAGCGAGTGGCACAAGCCTTTGGTCCTCCCTGTGGGGTAATAACCACATGCCTCTACTGGTTACACATCGCTCTAGTCAAGTCATGCACAGTGAAAGGGACCAAAAAAACAAACAGTTTTTATTTTAACATCTAAGATGGCTTGACTGATTGGTGGTGTCCATTCAGTAGCTGTCAAATAGAGGCCATAGACTGTATGATAATATGGTACAACAACCCTGGAATTACAGCTGAACACCCATGCTGTATTGTGCCTTATGTAAGACATACCACAGTAAGGCAGACAAAGAAACTGGGATGCACCAATAAATTGGCTGAGGTTTGACGCAGCTTCACACTGTTGTTGGTAATGCTAAGTAGATGGTTTTAATGACTGAAGAGAGTAAAATTTACCTTCCCTGTCTGTGTGACAGAGGTGCTGACTGACAGCTCTGCTTCCCGTCTCAGGTAATGGAAAGTGAAGAGTTCATGTTGCTGCCTGCCAACCAGTTGATCGACATCATTTCCAGCGATGAGCTCAACGTGCGGAGCGAGGAACAGGTTTTCAACGCAGTGATGGCTTGGGTCAAATACAGCATTCAAGAACGCAGACCACAGCTACCCCAGGTGTGTAGCTGAAGAATTACCAAACAACAAAAACTGACTGGTTCTGGTTAAGACGGGTAATATTGCTTAAAAACTACCAGAGACTGATGTAGGTTTCTTCTGTTCTGTAGGTCCTGCAGCATGTCCGTCTACCACTTCTCAGCCCAAAGTTCCTGGTGGGCACTGTCGGGTCGGATCCTCTTATTAAGAGTGATGAAGAGTGCAGGTCTGTTTGCCAACCATTACAGTGGAGTATTTTTCAGTGGGAAAATGTTACTGGTGCTGAGTTAGATGCAGAAATTTAGCATATTTCTGTATTTAAATTCTCAGACTTAGAATAATATCAATATTATAGAGAAGAGAAAGGTCTCCTTTATGATACAGATATAATAGTAACCTTAAATCACATGCCTTTTTTCTATTTCAGAGATTTGGTTGATGAAGCAAAGAATTACCTGCTGCTGCCACAAGAGAGACCTTTGATGCAGGGTCCCAGAACCCGACCACGGAAACCCATCCGCTGTGGAGAAGTGTTATTTGCAGGTCATTACCTCATGGCGTTATTGAAAACTAGAGTTTCCCTCATGGCAAAATCGTAATATTCCTGAACACGTTGGAGAACACCAAGACTTTTTTCTATGGTCCGGTTTCTGCCGTCTTGCTGACTAAATGTCCATGTTATTAGTTGGTTTTATAATGAAACCAAAAAGGTAAAACTTTAATTTTAGGGCAGCTCACTCGTGGCAAAAATCATTATCACGATTTGTTTGATTGGCATTGAGATCACTATTATGAAAAACACTCATGATTAATCTGCACCAAATGCATGAAAGCAACCTAAAATCTCTTTAAAACTTAAAATCTCATGATTCTTTTGAAAACAATCTAAAAACAGTAGAAGAAAACTGCCTTTCTGTCTAACAGGATGATGTTTCCTTTTACAGTCACATAGTGCTACTGAAAGGGACCGTTCATCCAAGTGATTTAAGACATAAGAAGAAGAACCATATTTTATTCCTGAAGGGAAATTCAATTGTCTTTTGTCTCATTTGTCATGCCTCTAAAATTCATCTACGATTTATAGAAGAGTTGTAAAGTCTGATGGCTGTTGGTACAAAAGATCTTCTGAATCTTTCTGTCCTGCTGTGAAGAGAGATGAGCCGTCCACCACCATTGGCCCTTTGGTCCATAAAGGTCTTATGAAGAGGGTGACCCATATTCTTTAGTCTCCACTTTTCTCAGTGTAGATCTCTCCACCACATCCTCCACTGAGTCCAGCTTGAATCCAACCACAGTGCCAGCCTTTTTCACCAGTTTGTTTAGACATCTTGCATCTTGTTTGATGCTTCCTCCCCGGCAAAATGCAGCATAGAACAGAACACTGTAGACACCACAGACTGATAAAACATCTGCAGCATCTTACTACAGATGTCTATTGATCAGTCTTCTCAGGCAAAAGAGGCGGCTCTGCCCTCTTCTGGAGATGAGGTCTATATTCTTAGACCAGTCCAACTTATTATCCAGATGTACACCTAGGTATTTATATGATGTCACCACCTCGATGTCCACTTCACAGGTGTTTCACTGGCTGAAGAGGGGGTTTGGATCTGCAGAAGTGTATTTACTAGTGTTGTTAAAATTTGTAGATGATACATGATAAAATCTGTGCAGCTACAACATATAATTGCAAGCCTACTTTCCTATGACGTATGCAATTAGATCAGTTATTACCACAGTAAACCAATCATAATAGTGGATTGCTGCAGAGGATTTTCTTAGTATTTCAGTTGCTATCGTGGCATGTAACAGAAAGAAGGCAAATACAGGGATCTGATAAGAGCCTTCAGTGACTGGAGTCACAAAAACTGCCTCCTACTCAACACCTCAAAGACAAAAGAAATGATCATACACTTCGGCAGATCCAAACCCCCTCCTCAGTGAACACTTGTGGTGTGGACATAAATCTTTAGGTGTACACCTGGATAATACTTTAGACTGGTCTAAGAACGTAGACTTCTCTTCTTTTTTTTCTTCTTTTGCAGCAGTTTGTCTATTATCCTCTACTTGTCATTGTCTGGCACAACATAATGTAATGATAATGTATTTACGGGGAAATTACAGTTATTATTTGAGTCATTGTTATTATATTAGACATGTCATAACCTCTCTTTATTAAGCTGAACTGGTAGTTATAGTGGAGGATTTTGTTGCCATGATGTAACCAGGTCAAAACCTTGTTATTAGGGGACTATGAAAAGAAGGGTTACCAATCTGGAAACTATTTGCAAAAATCGACAAGAGTAAGAATGAAATGTGTTACCTGTGTGTGTGTGTGTGTGTGTGTGTGTGTGTGTGTGTGTGTGTGTGTGTGTGTGTGTGTGTGTGTGTGCGTGTGCGTGTGCGTGTGTGCATTAATTTTGTTTTATTTTGTGCTTGTTTGATGATATTTACTCCCCTCACACTACTCTTTGCCTGCTGTAGTTGGTGGTTGGTGCAGTGGTGATGCCATTTCCAGCGTGGAGCGTTATGACCCTCAGACCAATGAGTGGCGGATGGTTGCCTCCATGAGTAAGCGACGATGTGGGGTTGGTGTCAGTGTTTTGGATGACTTGCTGTACGCCGTGGGAGGCCATGATGGCTCATCATATCTGAACTCAGTTGAGAGGTGTGACCTCGGGGTTGTTTCATAGTGGAAGTTATGGGTATATGTTAAGAAGTCAAGTGAGTGAATTTCATGTTTTTTTTCCGTCTCTCTTTTGCAGGTATGATCCTAAGACAAATCAGTGGAGCAGTGATGTGGCTCCTACAAGTACTTGTCGCACCAGTGTAGGAGTGGCAGTCCTCGGGGGATATCTGTATGCTGTTGGCGGACAAGACGGGGTTTCCTGTCTCAACATTGTTGAAAGGTATTTGTCTTCTCTGTTCAGATTTAAAATTTCATGTGCAAATATCTTGAGTATGAAGTTAGCAGCTTCATACTCTCCTCTGTTTGGTGTTTGGCCTAAACTATGAGAAGGGAGAAGAAGAAAGCAGTGGAAAGCAGGTCTGAAATGACCATTTCAAGTGAACCAAAAAGCTTGGTTATATAAGAAACCCTCAAGTAGGCCTGGACGATATAGAAAGAAAGCATATCGATAAAAAATAAATCATATTGATCGATATCGATAATTATCGATATAATTATTATAATTATTTAACATATATTTTAATTGCAGCCCTGGATGTTTTATGCTATTGCTTAATGACCTACTTTTAATAAAGAACACACAAGCACTGAATTCAAATTCAAACCTTTATTCAACCACCTTTTTTATTTTACCACAACTGAAAGTTTTTTAAAAAAGAACTAAAAAAAAAAGAAATCAACTTAAGTGGCCTGAGTGACGTCAGTAAATACTGACAAACATAAAGACTAAAGTGACCAGAAAATCTGATAAATAAATATTTAAATAGTCTTTTGATGAAAATAAACAAAACAAACAAATATATAAATAAACAGAATAGCTTTAGGTGGGAATAGCATACTACCAGTTTTAACTGTGTGGGAAACTGCCAACAGCCTGGTGTCTGAACACTGAAATATTTCTCCCGGGGTCGGGAGATTTTTTTTTTTTTTAAATTATCATGTGATTGACTTAATACACAAACTAAGCACGAGAAGCAGGACTTATCCACGCCGGTGTTGTGTCGTAGAATGCACCCCTGCCGAATGCACCCCCTGCTAGTAGCCATGATCCAAATACTCGCGTCTTTGTAAAATATGAGCTCATTTGAACGTATTTCCTCCGCACCCTTCTCACCTTTTAAACCCCTGACCCATTTTCATGCCTGAAGCGCTGTGTTTGAGAGATACTTGCGGCCGGGCACTTCATATCGCGGGTCGAGAGTGGCTAGAAGCTGGTCGAAGCCAGGCTTTTCAGCGGTAGTTATTGGCAGTATGTCCCTCGCTATGGAGCATGTTACTGCATGGGTGATGTCCTTATGCCGCTTGGACGCTTTGTCGTATTTTGGCAAGAAACGAAGTCCAGTTTGGTCTGCTTCACTTGCTTTGTGCTGGTGCTGGCAGCGGTTCCAGAGGATTCCTCCGACGACGACGTGGAGCCGCGGCGCGGCCGACACAGCTCGTACTCCTGCGGGTGCGATCGGTTTAGATGGTAAAACAAGTTGGTTGTGTTACCAGACTTGGTTTTTACTAATTCTCTGCAAATTTTGCAAACGACCGCTGTTCGCTTTTTGTCAGACTTCTAAAAACCAAAACATTGCCATGCTGGTGAACTACTGAAACCTTTTTTCGGGACAATGTCCTCCGCTTCTCCTTGCTGTATCATTTTTTCTAATACACGTGCTGTCTGTTGTGGTTTGATAGGGGCTGGGCTTGGTGCCGTAGCGTACCTAGGTCTGCGTTTGTGATTGGTTGGGAGGAAGTAATGACTGTAGTAAAAGCTACATGATAGGCTATGATGAAAAAGAAAGGGAAACTGTGTTTTTCTATCGAACTTTTTATCGACCCGTTTTTTTTCTATCGCACCACACGTCTATCGATCGATATATATTGTTATCGAATTATCGTCCAGCACTACCCTCAAGGCTATTTATTTGCCTCAAGCTTGTCCTTGGATCCAGACTATGCAGAGTATTGTGTTTTACACACTGTGTGCGAAAATCTGGCCACAGAACTACTGTGAAGTGCACAATCTGAACACCTTCACATGCCTCATTAACCTTCATTCACCAGCTATAAAACAAAACTCAAACACAACAAATCAAATTTAAATCTCTACCTTATTAGTTGAATTATTTGAAAATTTGTGCACAGAGAGGCAGTGCATTATGCCAACCGACTGCTCTGAAACAGGGAGGGAAAAAGGAGACCAGTGGTACTCTAATCATATACCAGTGTTTATAGACATGTAGCACATATCACTGTATTTTTTATTTGTTATTATAAAACTAAAGCTGTCCAGTAATATTCTGTGAGTCATAGAGGAAGTACATTATTTTCATTGCTAGTTCCATGTTAACCTCCATTTACAAAACCAGCACAAGCTGCAGAGTCTGCCATTTCTTTCAGTGTGGTGAAGATTTTCTTTAAACTTCATTTTAATCAACTTACAGGAGACTGATGCTGATAGGTTATGTGTGCAGTATGTTTTCACTCACGCATACTACGCTCTGGCTGACCCTCAATCCTCCTCTGCCAGTACAGGAGTCACATTTTTAACATCTTGTGGGACAGACGATGACGTTACGCCAAATTAAGTTTAGTTGTTTAAAAGTCAGCAGAATGATATCTTCTGGCTTTTGTTGTATACATTTGACAGCCCAATTGCCCTCAGATCCCGCTTCTTCCTCTGTGCTGCTTTGCAGGGGTGTGTCCAGACTTTTTGACTAGGGTGGCAAACTGGAGCTCCGACATAGGGGTGGCCAAACTATGAGCATGTACCCATTGTCTTCACTATCTGTTTTAAATAACTATCATAAAAGATAGTTATTTAAACTATCTGTTTAAATAACTATTATAAAAGGGTCCTGTCTTTAATTTTACAGTAACAATGTTTTATAATTAGGTGTGCATTAGCTAGTCTAATGAACCTCAAATATAATTTTAAGGTCTAGTACTAAGACAAGCCAAGATAGCAGTAAAGCAGTAATGGCTAAAAAAATTAAGATGACTTGATTAATTGCCCAAATAATGTATAAAATAAGATATTTGGTTATTGCAGACCTAATTGATGGCAAATCAACCACTGTGATGTGAGAAAGAAATATGATATGGATGGCCTCAGAAGCTAAGCTGTCTCTATATTGCACCAGATTGCTGTTCATGTTTCTCCATTTTGCTTTATAAGCCTGTGGATTATTTTATAGTTGCTGACATGAAATTTTAAAGCTTATACTGATAGACTTGCTGCTTCTGTTGTAGATATGATCCCAAGGAGAACAAATGGACTCGTGTGGCCTCCATGAGCACCAGGCGACTGGGTGTAGCAGTGGCTGTGTTGGGAGGTTTTCTATACGCTGTAGGTGGCTCTGATGGGACGTCGCCATTAAATACAGGTGCTGTACTGCATATTTAAATAAATTTAATGTCACAGAAATGTGTAAGATCAAGAGTTACAAATGAGAGAAACACACACAGCATTGGCCTCTGTGCTATTTCATTTACTGTCATCATTTTCTGATCTACCATTATTCAAATTTTTACTTTTTTTTAACTTGGTCTTTCTCTTTTTCCCAGTGGAACGCTACAACCCTCAAGAGAACCGCTGGCACACGGTATCTCCTATGGGAACCAGGAGAAAGCACCTAGGGTGTGCAGTCTACCAGGACATGATCTACTCTGTAGGAGGGAGGGATGACACCACAGAGCTCAGCAGTGCAGAGCGATACAACCCCAGGACCAACCAATGGTCCCCTGTAGTGGCCATGACCTCCAGACGAAGTGGGGTGAGTATGTGTGTGTGTGTTGAGTTCAGTTTTTAGGCCCCATGTATGTATTGTATGTATGTATATATATATATATATATATATATAAGTGTAAGTTTGTATCTGTGTGTGTAGGTGGGCTTGGCTGTAGTCAATGGTCAGCTGATGGCAGTAGGAGGCTTTGATGGGACGACGTATCTCAAAACTATAGAAGTCTATGACCCAGACGCCAACACGTGGAGGTGAGTGCAGCTTAAACGTGCATTTAAATCCTGCCCCAACCCTTTTATCCAAACGTCTGAAATGAGCATGTATTTTTCATAAATTTGTAAACTTGATGCCTGTCAACTCAGCCCTTTTAATGTGAAAATGCTGGTTGACTCGGAGTGCTCAGCGAGCTACTGTTTTCTGCCAACTCTGCCGTGTAATTCAGCAAAATTTTGAGAGACTCAGACCCAAGCTTTAGTTCTCGTTTAAGTCTATGCTCTACTGAGAAATTTTTCTGCAAGCCATCAAAATGTCTATTTGATTTTGCTCTATATGCAGACACAACACACGCTCTTTAGCGGGATCATTTAGCATTTAGCGTTCAGTGTTCAGTGGTCTCTGGTTGGTGATCCTTACAGATTGCAGTGTTTGGTGAACTGCTGATGTATTTTAATTCAGAAAGATCCAGAGATGCTGTTATTGGCAATAGTCAGTCCTTACAGCAAGCAGGTTTCTTGGTTTGTTCAAAGTTTGCTCACCTGTTCCACCAGGTAACTGAAGATCTCTCCTGTTCCCTAATTCCAGTCGAAGTTTCTCTGCTTTTTACTTAGACTTAGATCAGAGTCTAAAATAAGTGGCAAAGTCTGCTCTGTCTGCTGAAAGTGAGCAATTTATCTTGAAGGGGGTCAAGACCTCTGGTGTCCATTGCAGCTCATACTCTTACGAGCGACATGAAACTAAAACAGCCTCACTTCAAAAGTGATGGAAAAACCCTTTAAATCTTCAGATCACCCAGGCCAACGAAATATGTAAACATAAGAGCCCAACTATAAATTTACTAGATTTATAGTCAACATCAGGATAAATCTGGTGATTTAAATCGTAGATTGGCCCAGACTGCTCACGCCCACATTACTCATCATCTAGAGCCTCTCTCAGCAAATATTTCTGACAACTGCAAAAATCATCATTTTAGACAACAACCGCAATCTGGAGAAGCCCTTCAATTCATTGGTTCAATCATGTTATTATCATGTTATCATGTTTTTAGAAGACTTTCCAAAATCAGTCACTCACTTCGCAGAAAACACTTCGAAACAGTCATATGTGCCTTCATCTCCTCCTACCTGGACTTCTGTAATTCCCTGTATTCCTGTCTATCACAGCAGAGCCTAAATAAACTACAATGTCAGCCAGACTCCTGACTAAAACAAAACAGAGAGAGCATATTATCTCTATTTTAGCCTTCCTCCACTGGCCTCTAGTTCATTTTAGAGTTGATCTTAATGAGAACTTTTAAAACACTGTTCAGACTTGCCCTTAAGCACATCACTGATCTCTCACACCTTACAAACCTGGTTGTACCCTGAGGTCTTCAGCCAAGGGTCTGCTGACTCTTCCTCAGTCAAGGCTAAGGACCAAGGGGGACTGTTTTTTTCTGTCAGGGCCCCTGCTCTTTGGGACAAACTGCCTGAGGGGATCAGATTGGAAAATTCCTTATCCTCTTTCAAAACTCGATTAAAAACTCAGAAAGTGTGCTTTGAATGGACATCATAACTTTTAACTTAGTATTTAACCATTAATTAAGTCTTAACTCATTTTATTTAGTTTTAACTTACTTTATTTATTATTATCATAATTATTTTTACCTTATTTAAAAAAAAAACACACACAGTTTAGTTTTCCTCTTTTTTTGAATTCAAAATCATCCCTGTTGACTGACTGTTTTGGAGATTGTATTGATGTCTGCTGCTGTATGTTCTACTTCTGTTTCTATTCTTTGAAGCACTTTGTCACTCTGTGTTGAAAAGAGCTGTATATAAAAAGTTGTTAATATTATTCTTATTACTATTAATAAATAAAGCATATTGAAATGATAAACATGATTTATGTCGGTCCATGGGCTGCTGCATCCATAAAAGTAAGCTCATGTCTCTGGAAAAGTTATTGATGATATAGATGTTATTATGACAGCCTTGATTTTCTCCTTTTGTATTTCTTACCAAATGTAAACTTTGTTCCATCTCCTCCCTCTCTAGGTTGTACGGAGGAATGAACTATCGCAGACTAGGTGGCGGCGTGGGTGTCATTAAAATGACTCACTGTGAATCCCACATTTGGTAACACTAACTCTCCCCCCACTCGCATACATGCAGTTGTTCTTCTCATCACATTACAGCGGATGCCTGTGTTCACCAACTCTTGTGCCTCCTAAAGAGACGCTGGGATTCATGCAGGGGTGAGAGAAATGTCGGGGGAGATGAGATGGAAAAGCGAATAAACTTTGAATCTAGTTCGTCCCCAACCTGCTCTGAGGTCATCAACTTTAGAGTAACCTGATTTTCCTCATTGATCAACCACGGTCGCCATGAAGTGCACTGAGAGCTGAAGTCCATCAAGTACAATTAAGCTTCCACTTTGGACTGGATAGTCCTCCTCCTGTCACTACTCCTAAGTTCTTGTCCTCCAAACCTCTTGATCTAGAACATCTGATTTGGTGTGTAATTACTCTGCTGCAGGGGGATAAGCTTGTGAATCTGAGGTTTGAAAAGTGCAAAGACTTTGGGTCATTAGGCAGAAGGTACTAATCAGTTATTCAAGCTGTGAAAGTCTTCTTCACCCTCTCCTTTCTATGAAAGTGCCAGCCCGTTATGATCAGCACCTTCAATGAGTCAAAAATTTAAAAAAATATAAAAAGGCTGCAGACGCCCATTTTTCTGGCTGTTCTGTGAGCTTGGTTAATTCTCTTAAACACTGCACTGCATAATTCTTTTTCTGCATTTTTTTAGTCCTCAAAGCAAACATCCCAGCTGCTGTGGTTTTGTCCTGATTTGTAGCCGAAATAACAGAGGAATAGATAGGAACAATACAAGAGAAATGCTACCTAACATCCTCCCCTGTTGCTGAATGAGGCTCTGCTGCTGCACTTTACTGGAATTTACAATTACTAGTGTGCTAGATTAGGTGTTCAAAGATATCGGGTCTAATTTGCATAGTTTGGTTAAGAGATCTATCAGTGTAGTGAACTAAACTCTCCTGACCCGGACAGAGAGTCATCAAATATTGTTGGTAGCTTAACTTCTTGGTTCTGCAGAGAGTCCTGTAGGCCCTAGTTCGCTAGCCTGGCCGGGCCATCCTGTTGCATGAATCACTTGATGTTCCTTAACATCAAGTGATTCACGCAACAGGATGGCCCGGCCAGGCTACTAGTTTGCTTCATACTGTCTCAAATCATAACATTTAAGTCATAATCCCATCATGAGAACAAACAAATACATATCTATCATATCTATCTGTTTGGTCAGTTGTTCCCATGTATTATTATGGTGTTCCAGGTCGTATAAACTTCAACATCCTGACAAACTGGGGTCATTTCACAGCTCACTAACTGGTTAGCGGCCTCACAGACTTAAGAGAGATTACCAGGAGAGAAATTGGGTCATATTTAAAAAAATAATAATTAAAATATGTTTTAGGTAGCACAAAAACACAGCTAATGTTAGCATTCATCAGCTTCCAAGATCACAATAACTCATTTGGCAGATGAATACTTTGGAAATGTTCATGTTTATTTTTGTTTCTGTCTGTTCTTACATTACATTAGGCCAGTCAACAGTGGCATGTCGAGTACTGTACAGGGGGACATCAGTGTTAAGGTTGAAGGAGTGATCCTGTAAACATAAGACTGTCGGGCTGTTGCTATAGCAACCACATTATCGTTCTGCTGAAAGTGGCTAGTATACAGGGCTGCTGTTGTAAGCAAACCAGTAGCCTGACCCTCATCATTTTAAGCCTCGATCTGGGATCAGAAACCCTGAAGAAGTCCTGATGTTTGCCAAAGGGCTCAGAAATATTTTCTAACTTCAAATATGATCTTAAATCTCTCACGATCATCTCTGTCTTTAGTCTGTGTGGTTGCTCATCAATCTGTGAAATGATCACAGTAGGTCCGAATATTAAGGTTTGTACCACTTACCACCTGGAGCACCATATAATACATGAAAATGGTAAACAAGTTTCCCACCCTGAGCGTCTCGCAGTCACAGAGAGATGACCCCTGTGGGAATAGGGTCTATCTGTGTCCAGTTTTGCAGTCCTCATGCCCAGTAGATGTGCATGTGGTTGTGTCTGTCCTACACAATCTGCAACAGAAACTGTTTCAGACTCTTACTAATAAAATTTAAAATTCAAACACAATTAAATTTAATTTTTCATCAGCACAACAGCTTTCCTAAATCGTCTTCAGTACTTGGCCATTTTTGCTGAAGTCTTTAAATCTTTAAACACATAAAAAACACATTAAACACGACTTCATGCAAACAAGAAGGAGTAATACATTTGAATGTCACTTTAGCCAGCTGTGGACAAGCACACATTTGGTGCCTATGTGAGTGTTAGTAGCAGCAGGGCAGTGCCATTCATGTGGGATTAGGTCAAATTGAAATACAGAGTGATCAGAGAAGTAAAGGGAAATGTTGCATGTGCATTGGTGAGCCTGACTCGTTTAGATTTAAATAGTTTTTGATTAACAATTGAGTCTTTAACACAGATTCATCAGACGTAATCACGCATTGAGACTTTTTTTGGTTGTGCACATGAGATATGTTGACAATCAGGAAAATCTAGAGCACAATCCCTACCTTCATCATGGCAACTTTAAAGTGGAATATTATTTTAAAAAAGTGTCTCCTGAAATAACTTAAGTGGATCTAATGCATTGTGTCATGAACAATTATGTCCAGCTAGCTGTGCAGAGCCTCAATCCCGTAATGCAAGCAGTGGTTTCAGAGTCACATTCAAATTTAACAAACTTTGTAAATATTGTATTGCAGAGCTAAAGGAAGGTTCTTGATTTTTACGCACTGATCATTACTGGCTGATAGATCTAAAGCAGCTTCGACAGCACCAAGGCCCACATGCAGCTCAGATGTGTCAGAGACCTTTGAGGACACCCTGAAGACAGTTTGGCAGTATGTGAAGAAGACAAACCTGAAGTCGAATTACTGCAGCTGAGGGATTATTTACATACGCTTCTCTTTTTGCATCAAAGTCCTTTCAAACTCTGAACCAGTAACATGCCAGTCTACTGTCAGGAGTGTCAGTTTTCAAACATGTTTTTTTGTTTTTAGACCCCCAATTTATTATTATTAATCTTCATCATATGAAACCCAGTGTAGTGGCACCACCTGCTGGAGGATAGGCAAAGTGCAGCACTGACCAAGGTGCTCCTCTCTGCAGATTTTCAAGTGTGCAGATACAGTTTGAGCAGATGATGAAACAGTTTTGGATGAATCTTTTAAGATTTTATTGCACTGTGATTGGAAACCTATTTTAGATTTTAACCTTTTTTTCCTTGTGGTATTTTACAATGGTTTTGAACTTTCCAGGTATGGGAAAACATGTAAATCATCAGAGGGGAATCCGACATTTCGGGCCTCATACAGAGTGACAGATCTCGTTCACAGATGCATCACATCATGACTCAATTGATTTGGGTCACACACGGTTCATCTCTTTTCTGCACTTAAGATTGTGTGTGAAAGAAATGCAATGACATTACAGTGAAGGCAAGAAGATGATTTAAAGCTGCCTGATTGTCTCACACATTAATGGGCACCTAGATCCTAACATAAATATTGTTACTGTTTATTTTAGTCGTCAGTAGATCATCATGATACAGGTTTTTTTTTTTTTTACATTTCTTTGTCTGCTCACACAGTTATGCAAAATGATGTTTTGAAAATGTCCATGTTATGGGTACTCACCTGAAATGTTGACTTGAGTCATTTCATGCAGTTTTCTTTGAAGCTGAAACTGAAAAATGTTTGTTTTCTTTAGGAAACCCTTCCTTTTTTTCAGACAGAAATCTGTACTGCGAACTGATGAAGTGTAGTCAACAATAATAATAATGCGTTTAATGTTTATGGAACTAGCAACCAATGTTTGCTAGTTCCTCAAAACGGTCCCAAAATATATGTTACTGTTTTTTCACTGCCATAGACATCCAGTTCAGTCTAAAAGTCCACACGTTACAGCCTCGGTTTTAGATGAGTCATGCTCCTGTGAAATAGCTCTCTTTTGTGAACAAAGTTCCATCAACTTTCATTTTTATCATTTCACAATGCTTATTTCATCCAATAAGATAAGATAAACAGCTACAGTTCTTATCCACCAAACTTGAGAGGAACTTTGGCACATAGACCTCTGATACTCTGGGAGGCAGAAACCATCACACTGAAGTTAGCCTCTTATTTGTAACTTCCAGTTTAATTGTTATGGGAAAGGTTGTGGAAACATGGTCCTGATCCAGAGCCATAATACCTAGTATCTGTATTTGTGAAACGCTCATTCTCTTAATGAGAGTGCCAGAAAGGGGGATTTCACTGCTCTCTAGACTACAAAAAAACTGTGGTCCCTATGAATAAGTTGTGCCTTAAGTTAAGACGCAAAGTTCTCCCTAAACTTAAACTTAAAGCTCCAGTGAGGAGTTTTTTGGTGTTTAACAAAATGACCGGTAGTCATCTTGAGGCTTTTATGTGATATCCCAAAGCAAACAAGACCAACAGCAATTTTCATGTGAAATATTCACAATAAATGACATATTTGATTGTCAAAAGCCAGCGGGAAGAGATTTTTTTTTTCAGAAGACACTACATAAGCATGTTAAGGGCAAGAGAGGCTAAGCCTGCTTTGTCCACATGAAGCGCCAAATCTGACACAAACCTCACAGGAGCTTCAAGTTGCACCACAGAGACCTAGCAGGCTGTTAATGTCCATCCTAACCAAAATATGGTTGCAGATATGTTTACCATCCAAGAAGCCAATCAGAGAAAAGCTTTTCTTTCTTACGGAGTGTTGAACTATCTGGTCTGACTGCTTCTAAAAAAGCTATGAGCTGATAATGCTGTTATACCATCAACTCCAGTCTTTCTGCTAGAGATCATCACTGCTGGGCAGAACCTCGTATTTCCATATTTCCTCAAATTCTTGTACATTACTGCCATCAGTCATCTTTTACTCCAGTCAGTGAGCTTTTTCACATTTTATCCAATAAAGGGATTTGAAAGAAGCTTTTGACTGAATTTCAGAAGTGTTGAGTTGTTTGTAAAACACACTTTTTTTGTAATCTGCTGAAATGTTGGGGTTTTGGAGATGTGAGGTTTTTGCCTGATAGCAGCAGTTTGTTAGTATTTCTTATATCTAGACCGATGTGTTCCTGTTTCAACTACAATGTTCTTGCAGTCTTCCTCAGAAGAGTCATGGGATGTTGTGGCAGGAAGGTATCTGTTGACATTTTCCCTGTCTAGGATATTTGTCGTTGAAACATGTTGAGGTAAAAAAGGAAAAAAAGAAACACTGGTCTAGATATAAGAAATAGGAATGTATTAATTACATAGTCAAATTAAACAAACAGTTTTGGACTACAATAATCTAGATGATTGAAGCGGCACTCTGTGCTAAATATAATTTATGGAAAATGGCAGACCAGAGTTGGTTTACTGCTAATGAATACATTTCATCTCACACACACACACACACACACACACACACACAAAAATGGAGAACCCTCTGTGTCTCCTCATTCTCCAGGTTATTCCACCTTTATTCTTTTCTTTTTGAATGATGTGCAATGACAACCTGCAATCACAGAGGACTTTTTGACTAACTTCGGCTTAGATTTAAACTGTCTCAGCTGGTGCAACACTGAAAATGTTTTTAACGTTTAAACTCCACCTAAAGTCAGAACTAACATTACCCTTGACAAAGTCTGAACTGCATAGCTGGTTCACCCAGTGCAAGTTCTCATTCAAGCAGTGATATTACCCTTTCTCTTACTTACTACAAAAAAAAAAAGTTCCACAACTCTAAAGCTGTGTTTGAAAGCATCTGTAGCCTCTCAAAAAAATTGCTACAATCTGAAAAGTCTAGGCATTATGGTTTTTGTTGAGATCATGTACCTGTAACCTTTTCCATAACAATGAATAAGATGTCACCTTTAACGTATTGAGAAAAAATGCAGCCATGGTTATAATTACACCTCAGTGGTTCTGATTCTGTGGTGACTCTGATGGTTGACTCTGACCCTAAATTTTTGAAGCGATCAAACATTAATTGTCCATCCCTTGAGTTTGAATCAGCTTGATTTCTTGAGCTGAGTGGAGTGTCTTTGAATCATGTAAGCTACTAAAGATGTGCATTGTGATAGTGAAACAGAGGTCAGTTACATATAAAGTGAAGTTTAAAAATCTGGTTTTGGCAAGCGTCCACGCAGGACACGTCTAACGTAAGTGAAAGATAAATGTGATCCCTTGTGTTTGGTTTAATGTTTCAAACAGCATCTGTCAGCAGTCGCTCTGGTCTCACCATGCTCACTTTGACAAGGATTAAAGTTTTTCCCTGGGAAAAAAAACAAAAACCACAGAAAAGAACTGTCTCGTTCTTTGAGAGATCAGCTGGTAGATCAACTCTAACAATGTGAAGTATCTTCTCTGCAGCAAAGTATCACAGTTTTCACACAATATTACTATTCAGCCCTGGAGCCATGGCTATGTACTATCAAGGTTTTTGATGTGGTGCAGCAAGTGTTTTTCTCTCACTAAATCGATTCTCAGTAACGTCAAGCAGAAAAGACCAATAAACCCTTTCTTCCTTCAATCAGAGGCTGTGTCTCATTTCAGAGACCACATCGTCGAACGGCACATTCGAAGTGTGCGTGATGTCATCACGCAGCGCAAACGGTGTCCAATTTGGCTCGAAATGCTAAGCGCACTTCAAATTCGTTCTGCTACCACAATCAAAAACATTAGAAATAAGAAAGCTGACTCAAAAATAAAATTAAACAGTAATATTCCAGAATGCAATTTCATTTTCTTCTTCAAGACTGCCCATTCTGTGACTAAATTAAAAAGAAAAAGCAAAACACATTTAACATTTAATGTTCAAAACATTCTCCAGCAAAAAAGGTAACAAAATTCAATTTGAAATTCGAAAATTCAAAAGCATTAGCAGAAATGCTTTTTCATTTCAAAGTCATGGCTGCAATATTTGACTCAAAAATAAAAATAAAAAGCAATATTCCAAAATGCATTTTCATTTTCTTCTTCAAGACTGCTCATTTTGTGACTAAATTAAAAAGCAAAACCAAATTCAGAAATGCTTTTTCGTTTTCGTGCTCGCCCCACAAAAACTGTCTCATAATTCAATCTGAGTTCGCAATCTCAAGTGGCGCTGGAAAGTGACGTCACGGACCCCACTCGTTCTGGCCCCTTCTGGCTGATAGGGGGCAGTGAATCCGTGTATCATTCCTTCAATTGATATTCAATCAAGAATCAAAAAACAGAACATTGAAATACGGTTCGTTTTCCCTTTTTCCCTTTTTGGAATGAAAACAAATGAATGAAAATTCATTTGTTTTCCAATATTCCGTCAGTTTACATAGATCAACATAGATCATTAGGTGCATGGGTAGTACTCACAGTACCACAGGCGGTGTGAAAATGTTTGTGGGATGCGTTTAAATACAGCAAGAGGTCAGGTGTCCTGTCCGTGTTACTTGTGTTATCTCGTGACAGCCTATACACCTCGCTTTTTGGTTGTATTCAATGTTTGTGTGGATGTCTCCACAACTATGATCCACACTTTAAACAAGTAGAAACGAAACACTTCGTGTTAACGAAGATATATTACAAATACGTCCTCCTTTAATGTGGAAAAGCGTCCGCTGTCACCACTCATACTGATCGCAGTCAGCGTGGATAAAATCAAACCGTGGATGGCGACTATCTGTTTCAGCGGACTAACGGACTTTATACTCCTAATTGTTCTCATCACTGATTGATGGATTTGGGATATTTTGCAAATAAAGGGCCATAAACACAGTGAGAAACAGACAAAATGGTCATAGAGATGCCTTAAAAATACATGGCACAGAGGCAGAATCACTGCAGTCTCTGTCCGTGTTAACCTGTGACTGTAATCAGATGTCAGCGGTGTGTCAGCTGTGCTGGTCCTTTTACTCACTCACTTACAGCATGGAGACGTGGACTCTACACATTTTATCTAACTAACCTGTGACAACCTGTACACTAATGCAGGAATGAAAGTTGGATGAGGTTCTTACTGTACCTGTAGGCTTTGTACAAGAGGAGCACGCCCAAGTTTGACAAGGTGCTGACTAAGGATCATTTGAACAAGAACAATAAAGAAAGTTGCACACTCTTATCTCCTCTGCTGTTTTATTACCTTACCGTTTCAGATACTGTACCCCTGAAATAAACTTTGCAACAACATACACAACATTCAACATCAAGGCATGCTGCTGCAGTGTTCTAGCTGTGAGCTGCACAGAAGCAAGCTAACAGCATACAGTACAGGTGCTCCTCAACAAATAAAAATAAATATATTCTCATGTATTGAGATGGGATACTTGAATACATTGTGCAACAGAAGCCTGCAGATGACTTTGAAATTAGAATATTTTTAGTCCACTGAAATAGGCTGCAAATAGTGCAGCCATGACTTTGAAATGAAAACTCATTTGTACTAATGCTTTTGAATTGGAATTTTGAATGAGACAGTTTTTGTGGGGCGAGCACGAAAACAAAAAAAGCATTTCTGAGTTTGGTTTTTCTTTTTAATTTAGTCACAAAATGAGCAGTCTTGAAGAAGAAAATGAAAATGCATTTTGGAATATTGCTTTTTATTTTTATTTCTGAGTCAAATAGTGCAGCCATGACTTTGAAATGAAAAAGCATTTCTGCTAATGCTTTTGAATTTTTCGAATTTGACATTCCAAATTGAATTTTGTTACCTTTTTTGCTGGAGAACGTTTTGAAAATTAAATGTTAAATGTGTTTTGCTTTTTCTTTTTAATTTAGTCACAGAATGAGCAGTCTTGAAAAAGAAAATGAAATAGCATTTTGGAATATTGCTTTTTATTTTTATTTTTGAGTCAAATAGTGCAGCCATGATTTCATACTATCCACATCTGTTTCCAGTCCCACATTCAACAGTCTGTTGATTTAAAACAGTCCCTTAGAACTTCACTGGCTTGAGGTGTCCATCTTCTGATTTTGACTTTGGTCACAGGCTGCCTGAGTACACAAGGTCTGTAACAGGTTTGGAGATAGACCAAGTTATGATCTTACTTGCCCAGTGGTGGTAAGGCAGTGGCTCTGTAGGCTTCTTTGACATTGGCATACAGCAGATCCAGGGTCTTGTTTTCTCTGGTAGGACAGTTCACAAACTGTGTGAATCCAGTCAGGTGAGAGGAGAGGGTGACATGGTTGAAAGATCCATAGAAGAGAACAGCCCTATCCAACTATCGTCCGATCACCTGCCTCTCCACAACATGGAAACTCCTGTCAGGCATCATTGCGGCTAAGATAAGTGGGCACATGGATCAATACATGACAGAGGCACAGAAGGGCATTGGTAAGAACATCAGAGGAGCAAAACACCAGCTACTGGTAGACAGGACAGTCGCTCGAGACTGTAGAACCAGACAGACCAATCTGCGCACTGCCTGGATTGATTACAAGAAAGCCTTTGACTCAATGCCACACACCTGGATCCTGGAATGCCTGAAGCTGTACAAGGTCAACAAGACTCTAAGGGCCTTCATTGCAAATTCAATGAGGCAATGGAACACCACCCTTGAGGCCAACTTCAAGCCAATAGCACAAGTCTTCATCAAATGTGGTATAAAGGAGATGCTCTGTCCCTGCTGCTGTTCTGCATAGGCTTGAATCCCCTCAGCCAAATAATTAACAAGACTGGCTATGGATACCTACTCCGAAATGGGGTCACCATCAGCCACCTCCTCTACATGGATGACATCAAGCTGTACGCTAAGAGCGAGCGAGACATCGACTCACTGATCCACACCACCAAGATCTACAGCAGTAACATCGGAATGTCATTCCAACTGGAGAAGAGTGGCCGAATGGTGACGAAAAGAGGAAAGGTAATCCATACAGACGGCACTACGCTCCCAGAGGGCAGGATAGCGAATGTGGAGGAGAGCTACAAATACCTTGGCATACCACAGGCAAATGACAACCACGAAGAGGCCACAAGGAATGCAGCAACGGCCAAGTACCTGAAGCGAGTAAGGCAGGTCCTAAAGAGTCAGCTCAGTGGCAGAAACAAACTTCGGGCAATTAACAGCTATGCCCTGCCAGTGATCAGATACCCAGCTGGAATAATGAGCTGGCCAAAGGAGGAAATTCAGGCCACAGATGTAAAAACTCTGAAGTTGCTTACCATGCACAGGGGGTTCCACCCTAAGTCCAGTATCCAGAGGCTATACACTAAGCGCAAAGAAGGAGGTAGAGGATTAGTGAGCATTAGAGCCACTATCCAAGATGAAACACCCAAGCTCCATGACTATGTCAGGAAGATGGCCCACAGAGATGGAGCGCTTAGTGAGTGTCTCAGACAATGAAAACTGACAGGTAAGGAGGAACAGGAGGAACCATCATGGGAGGAAAACCCCTGCATGGGATGTACCACCGACAGATAGCTGAAATAGCTGATATGAGCAAATCCTACCAATGGCTGGAGAGGGCTGGACTGAAGGACAGCACAGAGGCACTCATCATGGCAGCACAAGAACAGGCCTTGAGCACCAGAGCAATACAGGCCCGGATGTACCATACCAGGCAAGATCCCAGGTGCAGGCTGTGCAAAAAGGGCCCTGAAACAGTCCCAACACCTAACAGCAGGATGTAAGATGCTGGCAGGAAAAGCATACATGGAATGCCATAACCAAGTAGCCTGTATAGTGTACAGGAACATCTGTGCAGAATATAGACTGGAAACCCCAAGGTCAAAATGGGATGCACCTCCCAAGGTGATAGAGAATGAACGAGCCAAGATCTTGTGGGACTTCCAGATGCCGACCGACAAAATGGTAATGGCCAACCAACCGGACATTGTAATTGTAGACAAACAGCAGAGTAAAGCCGTTGTGGTAGATGTCGCCACCACAAGCGATACCAACATCTGAAAAAAGGAACACGAGAAACTAGAGAAGTACCAAGGGTTCAAAGAGGAGATAGAGAAAGCCTGGAAGGTGAAGGCAACAGTGGTGCCTGTGGTCATCGGGGCATTGGGGCAGTAACCCCCTCACTGGAGAAGTGGCTCCAACAGATCCCTGGGGAAACATCAGACATCTCACTCCAGAAGAGTGCAGTCCTAGGAACAGCGAGGATACTGCACCAGACCCTCTAGCTCCCAGGCCTTTGATAGAGGACCCGAGCTTTAAGAGACACAATATAGTTTTCCTACAAAGTAAGTTTGTTTGGGCCAGTCCTGTTCTAAGCAGGCAGAGGCTCAGTGAAAGTCTGTGTCACAGGCTGCAGGTGCACTGTCACCATGGAGATGATTCCCACTCAGAGCTAAGGGCCCGCCCACCTGATTTTTCGCATGACTTTGACGCCTGTCCTGTCGCCATACTTTGACGTAGAAGCATGATTAAAACATCAAAACATTGACACTGGACCTGTGATTTTAAAAGTGTAGACGGTTCGTCAATATCTAGTACAGTTTGGCCACAGTAACTGTTCAGGCGAGGGTGCAAATGAGGATTTTTCCGTTGTTTAGAGTGATGACTCATCATTTTAGAGTTAAGAGAGGTGAACGTGTAATCCCAATTTTTAAATTCTAAATCGCTGTCACGGCCACAATTTTCTCTCGACACACACAAATTATATATTAAAACATAGGAAATCTACCAGCCTGACAGAAAATGTGAGCCTTGAAGCCGTGAGATGCTCACTTTTCAAGCTACAAGGTTTTGTTCGGGAGGAGGTACATGTTTCACCTCCATCCACTGCCTTTCAAAAAGAACACAAATGCACCACATTTGACGGTTGCTCATTTTCTTCAAACAACTCAAGCTCCAGTCTAAACTGTAAAGCATAGCAACTTGTCCTTCTAAAATTTCGTAGCTGTATTCGAGCAGTCGTTCATGGTCCAGAGTCTTTTCGGATACGACATGTAGTTTGTCAGCAACAAGCCTTTTGTTGGCACAAGTGAGATATCAAGATTCCTTTTTAAAGTGAAGGGAGCTGCTGAAAAAATGGGGTGGTCTCCATATTTGGAGCTTGATTATGATGTCATACTTTGAGGTAGAAATGTAATTTGAACTCTGACCTTGAGATCCAAGCCCTTAAACCTGCAAAAACTACATTTCAAGATCTCTTACAGTTTTCCTACAAAGTGAGTTTGTTGGGCCAGTCCTGTTGTAAGCAGACAGAGGCTCAGTGAAAGTCTGTGTCACAGGCTGCAGGTGCACTGCCACCATGGAGATGATTCCCACTCAGAGCTAAGGGCCCGCCCACCTGGTCTTAATTGACAGCTGTCTTCCAGATACCACAACACAGAGACAGCTGGATTGCCTTGAGTTTCAAGTCAGATTCATGACAAAGGCCCTAAATCATCAACGCTTTGACATATCACCACCATATTTGACATGTCCCTTCATGATCCTGATCTGAAGAATGTCTCACTCTGCAGCCATCTTGGATGACCCCACCATCCCCAAACTGGAAGTAGCCCTCAATGCATTAATGCCCTTATGTATCTCCACCCAAAACATAGCCTAAATGTGAGTAAATTAGCGGTAAGCAGCAGTGAATCAGCAAGCGGGCAGGAAGATATGGAATTTCCCTGTGTAACAGTTATCCCTTTAAAGAGGACAAGAGAAATAATTAGATTTGATGGCCAGAATTATCAGAAGCTCTAAGATCGACCATGGAGCCAGTATCGACCAATTGATGCACAAGAACAACACAACTACAGTGCACTCTTTAAGAAACAAAATGCTTCCCTATTTATTTTACAAGATGGGAATGCAACAGTAATAACGCAGTTTAAACAACTCTTACCGAGGTAGGTATGGAAAATAAAAAAATAAATTTAATTCTCTGCAGCTGCTTATATCACTAAAGTTCAGTTCAACCAACACTGTACAAGTGAAAAAATCAGTCCCACCTCACTTGTGTGAGGGTAATGTGTGTATATGTGTGTAACAGTGTAAAAGGATTCAGGGTCTGCGGCGTCGAATCTCTAAGTATCCTCCGGGGTCTGGCTCGCCATCAAATTTCAACTGGTGCCGCTTCTCCAACTGCACTCACACAGGTCCAGGTTGGCCGGGGGAATTTCTGCAACCGCTTTCTCTGAGTTTTATCCAGGTTTTTTTTTTTTTTATAGTTGCACCATCCAAA